TACACATGCTAACACTGCTGTCGACACAGATGCATTTCCACTGGGACAAGGAAGCATACTGTGTTTTTGGCTTCCAGCATTGTGTGGACACTGAACATTAGCTCATGGTAGATCAGCAGCACAAAAACACCGACCCACAGAAAAAAAAATCTGGCGGGAAATGACCTCTAGAAGTCTCTGGTCCAATTCTCTGCTCACAGCAAGGTAACTTCAAAGCTAGACCAGGCTGCTCAGGGCCTTGCCCACACAGCTTCTGAACATCTCCAAGGATGGAGATTCCCCAGCCTTTCTAGGCATCTGTTCCACTGCTACACTGCTCTCAAGGAGAAAAAAATTTCCCTTATACATGTTTAGGATTTCTCTTGTTTCAACATTTGTCCATTGTTTCTTGTCCTTTCACTATGCTTCCTTCTCAGAGTCTTGCTCCATCTTCTCTACAATTTTCCTTTAGGCGTGAGCAGACAGCAATTAGACACCCCCTTGGTCTCCTCTCTTCAACAAACCCAGCTCCCCCAGCCTTCTCCTTGTGCATCGTGTGCTCTAGCCCTCCACTGTCTGGGCCTTTTGCTGGCCACATTGCAGTTTGTGAAGATCCATCTTGTACTGAGGAGCCGGTCCTGGGCATAATCTTCCAGGTGGGGCCTCACACCTCTCAAGTGGTTGGGAATAATAATTTCCTTGTTCTGCTGACTACATTTTTGCTAATTCAGACTAGGTTGCAGGGATCCTTCATTTCTTGAGGGGCTCACTGCTGAGTTATGTTTAAAATACTTCTTGATACTTTTCGTGGTGATCTAATAAAATAATTTTGGTGTAAACCTGTCAGGGTTATTGCCACAGAGAAGTTATTGTCCCACTAGAACAGGCTTCTGAGCTGACTGTGATTTTTACCCTGTGCTGAAGGTCCTCAGGTACAGCCACTCTGGCTGTCTTGATACATCCAATGATACTTTTTCCTCCTTCTAAATTATGGAATTTGTATTCATGGCACATTGGCCAGAAGTTTCAGTAACTGCCTTCACTATACTACAGTGGCCAAATGAACTCAGCCTGGAGCCAAGGCTGATCAATCCCAGCTTACTACCTTCCTGCCCAACAGGGACCCCCAAGTTCCCAGTTCAGAACAACCTACTTTTTTCAGTGAAAAAGCATTCGATCGCTGTTGCGTATGCTTCAAATTCCAAAGTGTATCCCAGGTGTGTGCTTTCTGTTCCTTGCCCTTAAGAGAGCAAGATGCCACTATAATGCAATGATTCAGGCAGCCAAGCATGCGCAGGATAACGCGCACCTATAACTCTCCATTACTGTGTGTTTCTCAAAGCTTAAAAAATGTTAAGCAGAGAAGTTACCAAGCAGGGGAAAATGCAATCTATTTCCATGCAGCGGAAAAGAAAGAAAAAAAAATCCCAGGAATGACGTGCTGAAATGCTCTCTGCTGTGTGCTGCCAGGGGATTTAATCAGCCGATTGCCAAAGAGATGTCAGTTCCCTGAAAGAGTGAGGACAACACGCCTTGCTGAGAAACGTACTCACAGGATTAAAATATCAGCTGCAGGATAAACTAAATATTGTCCTACAAGCAGATAAAAATTTGGGTGAGAATGAACAGTCTTCATCCTTAAAATTTGTGTCACTACACCATCACACTTTCCAAGCCTATCTGTCCACCTCTGCCGACTGGTCAAGTACCCCCAACAAATTCAGGTACCTCTAGAGCCAGCTGGCTGAACAAGTCAAGCCAGGTGTACCAGACCTAGAAGCAAGCCAAGCAGAATCCCATGACACGAAGTACCACCTGTATTACTGGAATGGCCACCATGGACAGTGCAGTTTACACACAGACAAAAGGTGTTCAAGCACAGAGAGTACAGTGGTACCACAGGAGGATGGTCTGCAGTCATTACTGAAGGTCCAGGGGTGGGTGCCTTGTGTTAGGGTGGTGAAGGAGGACAGAAAGGAAGAAACTAGGAGAGTAGATAAAGAAGGAAAGAGCTGAGGTGGGAACGTGACAGTCAGATGTGATTGTGGAGGAGGCAACAAGGATGGAGGAGGCAGCCTGCATGGAAGTGTGCGTTTGCCACCCTCCTGGGTCAAAGCTGCACAGAAGAGCTTGTTACAAAGGTTGTGAGAGAGAAAGTGTCGTGGTAACTTTGGGCTCAGCTGGCTTTCTCCATACATTTTCTTTTCTGAGCTTGTCAGGAGCTGATGCCCTCAGCAGGAGGTGGGAACCTGGCTGTGCTATTCCCTGTGCTTCAGCTCCTGGGAGGGAGGCCCCACTAACCTCCACCTACCAACTGCTCCAGGGCTCAGTTCCCTCCTGCAGTCACTTTACATTGCTCCTGGCTTATTTTCTTGCCACACAATTATAAGTCCTCTGTCACCCTCTTTCCAGCTCCCAGCCCAGGCTGGCAGTGCCCCGTGGCTGGTGCAGCACGGCCACTCCTCCTCATGCAGCTCTGAGCTGAGATGGCACACTCTGAACAAGTTGTGTAGATGGAGGCTGTGCCAAAGCCAACCTTTCTAAAGAAATAAGCCGGTCTGGAAGCAGCCACTGGTCCTAGGGGTCACCACTGCACGCAACATGTTACTTGCCAAGCCTGTCTGTGCATCAGCACAGTGTAAGGAGGGCATCTTTTCACCCCACACTGCTCCTCCTGCCCCCAGCACCAGCAATTATACCCAGGTTTTTATTCACCACAGTCCTCAGCTGAGCCCAGCAGGTCGCTGTTATGAAATTCCAGAAGCCCTAAACATACACACGTGGGATATGGGCATGCCTTACCAGGGAGAAACCGGCAATGGTGACCAGGGTGCTCTTCCATGGTGTGGAGAGGAGCAAGGGCAGGCAGGATAAGTAAAAGGGGGCAACAGAGAGCTGGGAAAGAAGGTGAAGAGATCAGCTGTACTCTCCAGAGATGCACAGCCGTGTTTGTCTGACTTTGCCTCCTCCTAAGGAGATAAGACAAATCAAGTGTCTGTGACAGATGTTAGTCACGCTGCCTCACGTGCTAGTGAAGGGTGCTTGGCAGTGCGGGGTGGGAGGGGGAGCAGAAAACTCCAGGCACTGTAAAAAAAATTAACCACTTTGTCCCAACCCTCAGGTGAATTACCACTTTTCCTTGTCTGGTATAGGGCATTCTGGCAAGCTCTCCCAATTACCAAATCCAGACCAGCCCCCTTCTTCGAGGAGACTCTCGATCTTATTTCTTTCTAGGCAGCTTGCAGAGAGGGAGGAGGAGAGCTGAGAGGCTACAGAGAACTCGCTGGCAAAGAGAGAAGCAAAAGGGATGTCAGTGCCAGGCTGGAGTTCCCCTTCCAAGGCATAAGATTGAATACATTTGCTGCGTTGCAGAATGAGGAGAGAAATGTCACCTTCAGAGGTGATCTGACAATCACAAAAATAAATTACAGAGAGGAGGGGAAAAAAAAAAAAGGACGAGTATTTGTGAATATTCATGAGCAAGTCAAAACGCCCAAATTAACAAGGAAATTAATTTCCAAACTGATTAGGCTGCCAACTCCTTTTATTTAAATAAATCAACAATTGCCATCATGTGACTCTTGCTGAAAAATGCAGAGCTAATCCTGGCTCCTCCCAGGAGGAAGTTTTGTGCTGCCTGGGATGACCAATACCCCAGCACCTTCTGGGGACAGGCAGGCGCTGTGGCTGGAGCTGCCTGCCTCTCAGCCGCCAGGAGATTTCCCTCTGCCCACTGCTCCGGATGCTGCGGTTTCACGATCCCCCAAGCCAATCTAACCACTGGCTGCTATAGTTGTGCTCTCCCCGGTCCCACCCTCTTACTCATGCTGGCTCTGAAAAGCTTTTCCAGCATGCCAAGCTGGCATAAAACCCGTGCAACAATTAAAAAAAGAGAGATTTCTCTCAAGTCAGAGCACTGAAACAGATCAGCCAAGCACCCAGTGCGCTACGCCACAGGTGAGGAAGGTAACCTAACCTGACCTGGGAGGTGGGCCCAGTGCCAAATTAACCCTGCCACGAGTAGCAGAATTAAATATATCGTATCTGAAAGTCTCTTTCCACATGAATTTTAAGGGTCTAAGACAGAGTAGAACAGCAAGAGCCAGCCTGGCTTGGCTACAGTCTGGTGTGGGGGTGAGCAGCCAGCCCGGCTCAGCCGTGTCACGGAGCGCCCCTGTGATGTCTTCTCCAGTAACAGCCTCATGCCTTCTCCTGCCCCGTTCAAGGCACTGTCTGCTGCTTCTAGCAGGAACTCCTGCTGCACAGCAACACACCCGGCAGTGCCAGCGCACGGGAGACAGCAGGAACTGCCAGCCAAAACTTGGGCGGGTTGGATCTGTGAGACCAAATTCTCAATGAGTGAGAACAAGGGTGAGCTGCAGACCCCTCTGGGGTCAAGCTGTGAACGGTCACAAATTAAAAAAATATTAGTATTTGGGTTACACTGAGCCTCTGGCTGGCAACTGCGGGTAGAAGGTTATCCCGCTAGCCTCCACGCCTGGCCGTGCCCTCCTGTTCCCTTCAGGGAATGAGATGGTCCAGTTTGCCCATGTGGCAGAAAGCCAGCTCGCTGGAAGTCCTTTCTGTCGGGTTAGCAAGACAAACACGTTTAGCCGCGTACCAGGGAAGCGCCTGAGCCAGCGCAGGCACAGGGGCAGGCTGGGACCCCCCCGTACCATGACAGCCAAACTCTGGGACAAATCCTCAGGAACAGCCCGGGACCGTCCCGGGCGCTGGCACCCACAGCCTTTAGGACAACCCCTCTGGACCAGCCCGCCGGTCCCGTCTCGCACGCGACGGCAGCCGAGTTATTTATTATTCATGAGGGCTCATGAATATTCACGACGAGGCCGTGTCCCGCGCGCATCACGTGACGGCGCGAGGCCGGAAGCGGCGCTGCCGGCGGGGCTCGCGGACGGCGCGCGCCCGCCCCCGCCCGCCACAGCCACTTCCGCCCTCGCGCCCGCCAGCGCCGCCTCGCGCGCCGGCGCCCTCCGCGCTTCCGGTAAGCGCGCGCGCGCCCGGCCCTCGCCTCGACCCCCGCCCGCGGGGACCCGCCGGTGCCCCCGCAGAGGGCAGCTCTGCCCCGGGCTGCCGCCGCTCCGCTTTCACACGAAACTGCCGATGACGCCGTTCCGCTCCGTTCGGCGACCCGGAAGCACCGAGGCGCGCACCGCCCCCTGACCCGGAAGCACCCCGCCGCTGCTCTTTCCGGTGAGGAGGCCGCCGCCGCCGCCGGAGCCGGGTCGGGGCCGCCGCTGGGGGGGAGCCCGGTAACGTGCGGGGCGGTGGGGCCGCGGGCGGGGGGCCGGGCCGCGGGGCTTCCGGGGCCGGGGCGATCCGGAAGCGGAAATGGAGGAGGGCTGTCTGTGTGTCTATCTGTCCCGCCGTCCGTCCCGGTGTCGGGCACTCCGTCGCGGGGCAGCCGCGCTCCGGGCCGGCCCCGCCCTCGGCCGGCGCGGGGGGAGGTGGAGGTGGGTGCGGGCCCCGCGGGAGCGCCCGTCCCGCACATGGCCGAGGCCAACCCGGCCCGCGGGCCCCGCGCAGCGCCCGGCGCTGCCATGCGGGACACCAGGCCCCCGGTAACCCAGGCGGTTTGTTTGCAGAGCCGGCCCTGGAAGGAGGAGAAATGCAAGAGGAGGGAGAGTGAGAGGGGTAAGGAGCTCCCGGAGCTGCGTGAGTGACTCTCGCCCCTGCCCCGGGGCTCCCGCCGGGAGGGACGGGAGGGAATGGCTCGCGGGTCCCGGAGGTGGGGAATTGAGGGCGTTGGAGCTCCAGGGTGAGGGAGAAGGGATTGAGCGCCTGGAAGGAGCTGAGGCGCAGGGTTTGCCCTCTGCCAGGCACCTGTTCCAACAGGCGCTCGATGGGTCGGGATGGAGGCTGCACGTTACCAGGGAACGGCACCAAAGTTCTGTGTCTGGGGTGCGGGTTTGGGATCCAGGGCTTTGTCCTGCACGTTCGGGGCATTCCTGATGTGAGTTTTAAAGGTGTAGCGGTGCTTGAACGTTTTGGCCCTCTTGAGTTCTGTGGAGGTATTTTTGCTTTTGATCTGACAGCCTATGTGGCCTTCAGCATCCCTAGTGTTTTGCTGCAATTAAGCCTAAAAGCTCCTTGTTATTGAACAGAGATCTTGGGCAGACGTAAAACAAAGTTTAAATCGTTCTTGAGTGTCACACTCAGGGCCTTTTGTCGACTGAAAACTTTGCTCCGAATAGAAAGTAAAAGCCAGGTATCTGGAGAATAAAGAAAGCCATGTTAAAAGTCAACCTCTGAATAAATACCTGCATATCCAACCTTGATTGTGCCTTCCAGAAACACTGCCTCTACCTCACCGTGTACTTGCATGTGTTTTTATCTATCTGTTTATGATTAAAGTGGTGACCCGCCAAGACGTATAAATCCAGCACGTTAAGTATGTGATTCTGTGAAGTACTCTGTGAGATCTAAACTCCAGATCCCTTGTCCCTTGTGAGTTCTCTGGTTCACTGGGTTGTTTATGTGGTGTTTGTACATTTGTGGTCTGTACATAGAAAGTGTTTTTGGTTTATATCAGGAGGGTACGTTGACATCTGTCTGATACTAGACTGGTGAATAGGAAGAAGGTCCCATCTCTGGCCTGTTTGTGGAAGCTGGGATGATGAAGGCACTGCAGTGGGAACGTGCTGTGGTACAGGGTTGAAGCTCCAGCCCATGTCTGGTAGTTATAGAGCAATTGGAAGGGTTACGTGCAGAGTTCTGGTAAAGTAAGTGTGAGCAGCGTCGAAGTGGGGGCTGCAAATAGGGGTGCATGTTTTCAAAATATCCCTCAGCCTAAAAGCGGGGTAGGGGAGGGACAGCTGTGGGTACGAGGACAGTAGTTTGGTGGAGGAATCTTACCTTTGTTTTCTGCCTTTGGAAGACTGGCTTGCTAGTGAACTTGCATGAAAGCTTCAACTCTTACACCATTTCTCCCTTTCCTCCACATTCTTATAACTCCAACACGCTTCAACCCTTCCAGCCAAAAATTTTGAGGCCTGGTAGTCTGCTTGAGTGTGAAGATTTTTGGATGGAGAGTTGTATTCTAAGAGAGTTTGACAAAAACAGTGTAGTCATCCTTTGAAGAATCAATAAGAGCCTTATTTTGACTTGCACACATTGTAAACTGAGCAAACAAAAGTTAAATGCTCTGTTAAGCTGTGGTAGGGGGACTAGATGGAGACAAGCAGCCACTGAGTGCCCTGGCCTTTGCTAGTCTGCGTTTTGGAATCTGGAGAGGACTTGCCTTTCATTCCTTGTACTTTTAAATAAGAAAGCTGCTGCGAGATTTTTGCTTAAATTGGCATCTTTCTGTTTAACTCCTGAAGTTTGCAGTTGAGTCCAAAGGAGTCTCGGAGAACTACAAAGTTTTTTTTGAAAATGCATCTAATTATTATATAAAACTTTATGTTTTTAGAGAATCAGGTTCACTTTGATGTTTTTGATGTGGAAGCTAAGAAAATAAGGACTTACTTATTTTAAAAACAAAACCAAAACCAAGCAAAAACCCCAAACTTGGAAATTCCAAACAAAATACCCTTCTTCATTCAGGTGGTACTCAGTTGCCAAGAATGTGTTCTCTTCATGTGTGCCCATCCTGTGGAAGAAAAAGGTCACGTAATTAAGCGTTACATGCACAGGGCTTTGCTGTGGGCAGTGTACTTAATAATTAATTTGCCTCAGAAAAGAAAGCAGAGGAAGGAAGGTAAGAGTGTTGCCCCATCAGACTCTGATTGAATCACAGCAGTGCAAATCCAGAGTAATTCAGTCAGGCAGTGAGCAGTCTGACTGCATGCCATGACGTAAGGTAAATAATTTATCCTTAAGTGTGTTTATTGGTTGATTTGCACTGAGTGAGTGAGGCAGGAATACTTGGCCTTGCTGTTGCATGAGCAATTCATAAAACCAAAATTATTGGGTAATTTAGTTCATTTAAATACTGCTTCTCTACATAGAGGAAAATTATCTTTGCATTTTGGCTCACATGCAGCAATTCCACATGTATTTATTCTGCCCTGATGTACGTCTGTGAAGTAAGTGTTTCATGCTACTCGAGGCATGCCTCTGAGCTTCCCTGACGGTTGAGACAGGCCATTCAGAAACAATATTGGTTTGTTAATTAGGCTGTGACAGAAATAGGAGCGGGACGGTTTGCAGGCAGCTGCATGAGAAACCTACAGCGGTTGGTTTCTCTGCCAGATGTACTCTGAGCACAGTTTTTACCACGTGTATTTTACCCACCAGTTTTGTCATATTTGTTCAGGAATAGCTATATCTTCTACTTCAGGAAATATCCTTTTGTTAATTTCTTTAGTTTTTGAATAGTGTTTTTGCAAGTGTAACAAACTTTGTCCACTAATACTTATTACACAGAGAATATAAGGATTAGAAAGGAAAGTGCTTCTTCAGTCAGGTGTTCCTAAAGAGGTTACACCTCTGTGTTCAGGAGACTCTCTTTTGATGTCTAACTGATCCTCTCAATGCATGGAGAGTTGAGGTGGAGCAGTGGGCACTTGGCTGGGGAGAGAGTCCTACAGAATCTTGTCCCAAATGTGGGAATGAAGTGAGTAATAGAGAGCCATGACATGATCTCACTTGGAAATAGGGTATCTCAGGAGCAGGGGAGTCAGTTATTTTCCCATGGCCTAGTCTCATTGGATGAGAGCAGGAATATTGAGTGATATTTCTGTCTTTCTTTCAAGAGTGGGGCTGGGGTGGGCAGTAGGAAGTGAGGAGCCCCAAGTTTTTGATTTCTTGGTCTGCTGTGGCTGTCTGTTATCTTGGGCAAGTCTGTTTCCCTCTCTCTGCCTGTCTTTCTTCCTGTGTAACATAATACTAATGTCCCTTTGCTGCATCTGAGTCCTTAGTGTTGAGCTGGGGTGGAGGGACAGGCAGGGTACAAAATTTTCACTGCTTGTGGGATCAGACTGTCTGTGACAGTGAAAAATGGTTTTCATCTGTATTTGCCTGGTTGCAGATGCACAGACTTCATTTATGCCATGTACTTGGGTGGATGATAATTGGGAAAATTTGGAGGTCTTCTAGGTTTCTAGTCAGTCCTTATTTTGCATGGAGGACTACTGGGCAAGAGGCATTTGAGATGGACCCAAGCCCATGGGAATAGCAGATGCCTTTTTCCCCTGAAAATAATTTTTTGAGTTGGGCAGATAGCTCAAAAGGGGGGAGAGGCTGCTCAAGAATGACAGGGGAAATTAAGGAACTGTCGCAGCATTAGACTGAGTCAGTTCCATGTTGGAGTCTCTTTGGGTTTAATGTTTTTTTTTGTGTGTGTCTGTCTGTCTGTCTTCCTTATCCTCCATTCCTCTTCCCTTCCCCTTTCCTCTTTCCCCCTGTGCCCAGCTAGGATGGAAGAATCTCATTTCAACTCCTCCCCGTACTTCTGGCCAGCAGTGCCCACTGTCTCGGGACAGGTAAGATCTTCCAACCTATTATGTTGGTCTTGTTTCCCATTAGAAGTCCATGTGTAAGTGTTTCTGTTGCATTTCTTGCTCAGCCAAATGCTGGGTGAAGTTGTGCCAGGGTATCCTAAAATCTGTCCTTCCTGCCTGTTTAGATTGAGAACACCATGTTTATTAACAAGATGAAGGAGCAGCTATTGCCCACAGAGAAGGGCTGCAGCCTGGCTCCCCCCCACTACCCTGCCTTGCTGACAGTACCCACCTCTGTGGCCCTGCCCACTGGCATCTCCATGGACTCGGACACCAAGCCAGAGCAGCTGACACCACACAGCCAAGCCCCTGTGACTCAGAACATCACCGTGGTACCAGTGCAGTCTGCTGGGCTCATGACAGCAGGTAGGGCACTCCAAAGTCTCCGACAGCATACAGAGGAGACTCTATAGTGGGGAGACAGGAGGGCCTGGAGAATCCTTTTTGGGCTGTCGATTATTCTTAGCCTTATTGATGGTGTGGATTGCCTGGGTGTGATTTCACTGTAAATTCTCTGTAAGTTTGACTTCCAGCAGTGGAAACTGGGAATGCATTGGGAGGGGAAGCTACCCTTCTGTTTGTGTTGTAGTCAAAAGTAGGTGCTTCTGTGGGATAAGGATGTTGGGCATAATTGGAGATGTAATAACTGACTTCCTCCATCTTCCTTTGTTTGCAGGTCCTGGTCTGGTGATAACTTCCCCGTCAGGTTCCCTGGTGACCACAGCCGCCTCTGCCCAAACCTTTCCCATCTCAGCTCCCATGATTGTCTCTGCACTACCCCCTGGCTCCCAGGCAGCCCTCCAGGTGGTTCCAGACCTGTCCAAGAAAGGGACGACTGCCCTCACTGAAGGTGGTGGGGGTGGTGGGGGTGGGGGAATTGCCCCCAAACCACCCCGGGGCCGGAAGAAGAAACGATTGCAGGAGTCAGGGCTGCCAGAGATGAGCGACCCTTTTGTGCTGACAAACGAAGATGATGAGGACCAGCACAAGGATGGCAAGACATACAGGTGGGGAGCAGGGTTAAACCTTGACTGTAACACTGCATGGGGATGGGGATGTATTTAACCCTTCAGAGGGTTACATGGGGAAGAAGAGATCTCTGCCTTTTTCCTAGAGAGTCTTTAAATAGAGAATCTTTGAGCTGCAGAAAGAGTTGAGTTTTCTTTCTAATCAGGAATGTTTGCAAGCTGGTGGGTCAACCCAAAACTAAGGATCTCCTTAGTAGACTTATATAGTCATTAATGTTCCTAGGTTAGTTAACGGATGTTATGGAGGCTAAACTGTATCCTTGATGCCATAGCCAGATAGTAAGGCTGGTGTACTGCAGAGTGCAGTGCTGTCTGGTGTAGCTGAGAGCCCTGGTGTACCTGGGTGCTCCTCAATTAGGACTCCAGTCTGTCCAGTGTAAAGACTACAGACTGGAGGCACACAGAGCAAGAAGTGAACTGTCGTGCGTGTTTGCTCCTGTATGCATTGCCCCATGTCATCTCCTCCTATTTCAGCATTCTAAACAAAAGAGGGGAAAAAGGTGAATTTTTTAATTAGTTGTAAGAGTGTTTCTGAATCATGAGTGTATTGGATAAGAGGGAGGAGAGTTCTGAGCCCTGAGGTTGGGTTTCTGAGCTTGGAGGGATGTGGCTTGAATTTACGAGTGGTGGGAAAGGCAGTGATTATCTAGGATGGACTTAAACCAGAGGATAAGGAGTATGGGTGTTTTAGAGAAGGTGGGAACCATACAGAGCAGACAAGTGGTAGGGAGGAAATGTGATGGTCTGTGTTGGGTGGGAAGCACTTATGTGATTCAGAGATAGGTGATTCTGACAGATGATTAAGATAAATGAGAGGCGAAGTAGTAACCAAATGGAAACAGAAACAGTAGATAGTCCTATGTCTTCTCACTTCCCTACAATGTGCCCAAGATCCTGTCTCAAAGTTTCCCTTTTGCCATCCTAAACCCTCTTTTTTTTTTTTTTTTTTTGGTACAGATTTAATTATGTTTCTAGAATTAAGCCATATCAATATGAAGTCATCTACACAGAATTGGTGCATCCACCTTGGGCACTGTTTCACTTTTAATTATAGCATTTTTTAAATGTTTACTTTTTTTAATCAACACAGTTAGTTAAATGGATATAAAACCAGAGCTTGGATCAGCCTTTTTATTCTCTTACCCAATGTCCCAGTTCTTCCACTTTGAAAATATAATCAGCGTATGGTGAAGAGGGGTGGGAGTGTTAGGTAGCTTGCTATTTGTAATCCCACCATTTATTTTGGGCCATAGCCACAGTTCCACACTTCTCAAGCTGCTTACAGTCTGGGTTGCTAATTAGGTTGTTAAATATGTATTTACAGGGGACACAATTGGCAGTGAACACTAGAATTAAAGCTGAACCAAGGCTTTAATTATAGCTCCTTGTTTACTTGTAAGTTTGGAAAAAAAATGCCCAAGACCAGGTGGAGTGACTCAGCAGAAACTTTATAAACACGCATAGTCTGTTTAACAGCTCATGGAATAGAATTTACAGGGAAAAAATGAATGAGTTTATATGTAGGAACATGTAATCGGGAAGATTTCCTGTTGTTATGTTTAGTCTGAGTGTGGTACCTCTGCCTCTTCCTCCAGCCCCCCTCCCAAGCAGGCCTTCCTCTGAGCAGTGCTAAGGTGTGGGATAGCTAAATTGAGATTTATTGAAGACCACCAAGGAGTACTTCTGCCTTCCTTGGAGCTTCCTCGTTGGCTGATGCTTTCTATGTGCAAGTTTGGAACTAAAAATGATTGTTGAAAAAATAAAGGAAAACGCTATCTTTTCTTGGAGCTGTGGGAGAGAAAACCTTTGTGAAATACAGTAAAATTGTTGCTCCATAATATGCATATGAATAGACTCGCAAGTTAAGACTTTGAGGACTGCTGGGTTCTTTCTGTATTCTAGAGGATGATTTCAGTAGTTCCCGTCACTACAGAATGCAGACATATCCCAGCTAAATTAAGACTGTGGGTGAGGTTCATCTACTCCTGTTCCCTTCTCAGGCTGGAGGAGGAGTTGGTATTCATATGACTACATTTGTATGATTTCACTGATTCCTATGATGAGACACTGAGAATAATCTATTCAGATGCCTGGAAGGAGTTTTACTATATTGATCAACGTGACTTTTTTTTTTTTAATACCCAATTCCTAAAGCCTGAGATTATTTTGTCAAATTTAATTAATTTTTTTGTTTCACATTTTCTTTTTGAGCTCTGTGTGCTCTCTTGTCTTGAGTGTCTGGGCATGTGGCTAATATCCATAATTCCTGACTCCTGCTGTGGTGATAAAGACAGAGTAAGGCCTTGAATGGGGAAGCACAGCCAGGCAGATGCGGAAGGAATTGGAGCACAAACCTTAATGTATTGCAGCTCATCCCATTCTCTGCTAAATGTAGAGATTCCTGCTCCAGCACATGGCAGCTGTTTTGCTGCTGTATCATCCCTAGAAGTGAATTAGTAGGCTGCTGTGAAAGCTGTGCAAGAATCTTTGTGACTAGGTCTTTCTTTTCAAGAAAAGGCGTGAGGCTTTTGCTAATGGTGGCATTGCTTGCGTATCTTGGACGTCTAGCCTTAGGATTAGTCTGGCAGAGTCCTTGGTGCTTTGCTTTGTGCTATTAGAAGAATGTTTGCACCTACAGGGGACAGCATCTAACCCAGTCCTGTGAAGCATTTTCTGTCATGAGTAATGTCACTTCAGTCTTGTCTGTATTTGTTGTCAGCTCTTCATTAATCTTCCCTGATGTCTTCGTAGAATTCACTTTTTCTGTGAAAAATGAGATCAGCATCAAGATTCTTTCTAGTAAGATGTGAAGTGTGAAGCACATGGCTGCTTCTCAGTGATGAGGAAAAGAGAACAAACAGATCCTGGATACAGTAGTATTGTTTCTTAGTATTGTGGTGCCTGTACCTCTGTGCTTTAGAAGTCTGTGCTGTGATGTGATCAGTGGACAAGACTGATGAAGTGGTTCAGCCTCTCTGGGCCAGATGATCAGGCTTCTCTGACAGTTCTCTAAATAGTTTCTTCTTTGCAAGAGAAAAGAGCTCTCTATAGGTGTTGCTTGGTTCCAGTATAAAGTTTGTAAAATCTAGGACAAATACCAATTGATAGTCTGGAATGGTTTTGCGAGCTGTACTTTGGAGCCTCAGATACCAACAGAAAGGTTGTAGGCTTGGGAAGGGCCTGACCATCATAGTGTGATTGACAAGCTCTCTCTTACCCACCTCAAGTTCTGAGTTTCCCTACTTTCACTGGGAAACAGCAGGGGGTTTGGGAGGCAATAAGCAGCTGAGGGACACAGGAAACTTCCGAGGCAAGTCCAAGGTGCAAAAGTGTACAGAAGCCTTAGCAAGTTGAGCTGTAGAAGGTGAGGAAGCTGGATGGAGGCCCTCATTAGTGAGAAGATTATGTACACCTGGGTGCCAGTGGTTTGAATACAGCAGGTGGGCATATTCTCAGGCATGTCTGATTTCAGGCCTTTTTTTCTGCCCTGGATTTAGCATGGCTGTTTGGTCAGTTTCCCATGGTTTTGAATAGACTTTGAAATCTGGCTTTTGTAAGCCATGTATGTCTGTGAGAATATTGTAGAATTTGCCCATTTGTAAACTTGGAAAAAATCTGTTAAGCATGCTCTGAGATGCTTTATAGTTTTGTGGTCGAAATATGTGAAAGTTATATCTTCTTTGACGTTTCTTGAGGGTTGCATGGCTCCAGGCAGTGACCAGACTTCCATCTCCACAGAAAAGATAAATACGCTCTAACATTCTCTCAGTTTCTGTACGAGGCTGGACTACATGTGTACTCTCTCTGGAACCATAGGCTAACACTGAATGGCCAAGCATGCTTTTCCTTCAGTCATGACTGCTCCTCCTGCTGCTTCAGAAGGAAGTCTTTAGTGCCCAGTGTGGACAGCAGTCTCCCCCCTCTGATGGGCACAAAGACAAGGTGTGAGAAGACACTACTTGGTTCAAATGTAGTAGGGATGAGAATGAGATATGTGCAGGGACTGGGGCTGTTTGCGTTGAGGAAATCTGGAAACTTGGTAGATAAGAGATGGGAATCAGAAAGGAGGAGAGAGAAAAGATAAGAGCCTACAAACTAGGGAATGCAGCAGAGGATGGGGAGCCTCTTTGCAAGGGAGAAATGGGGGAGGTAGCACAGGGATAAGCTATGAAGGGCCAAGACTAGCAGGAGGAAGAAAGACCCAGATCTGCTACGTGCTGGAAAATGAGGATATACCTAGAACTGGCAGAACACAGAGGGACAAGAGTATGGGATATGAACAGACAAATAGAAGCATGGGGGAGAGGAGACAAATCTTAGGCAACTGAGGGAATGAAATAGGGAAGAGTCCCTGCAGTAAAAGATAAAGAGGCTGGCACACGGGGCTAAAATGCTTGAGCCTGGGTCTTGGTGGGGGAGAGGGCGGATTGCTACAGGCTAGAAGGCTAAGGGCAAAGGGGGAATTAAGTTTGGAATGTCAGGCAGAAAGTTTGACCACATTCCCTCCAAAGCCTAGAAATACTAAACCCAATGTTTCTAAATTTTGCCATGTCTTTGAGGTCAGCACAAGAATATGACCTCCTCTGGCAAAGAACCTCATCTCCCTCTAAGGCTAGAAAAAGGTGACAAAGTATCGTTGCTGTCATTTATCATCCTAGCTGCAGTGGCAGAGGTCTGTGCAGTGGATCTTAAGATTGCTGATGACCAACATGGGTGTCAGTATGATGCCACATGTTGGAATTTCTGTTTGCTTTTTTTAACAAGTGGTTCCGTGAGCAGCGGAACTAATGAAGCCTGGTTTCCAGCGGCTCTCTCCTGTGTGGATTCTCTGATGTCTAATCAAGGGTGAGCTTACTAGCCTTTCCCTCAGCAGAGGGCTCCAAGAGAGTCTCTCTTCTTTCCCCAGATGCATATTTTTGAGACTTGTATTAACTTTTAAGATCCTTACCCTTTTTCCAGATTGGTTGAAATTGGCTTATGATCTCAAAACTCTTAAGGAGGACAGGTGCACATGCACATCTACAGGTACACACATAGTTTGTACACATAAGCTTTGCTTTGTGTATGAACACAGTGCTTGGAGGTTAGAAAATGGCAGAATTAGACTGGCCACATGCCTCAGGATATATAATAAGGTAAAAAACTTAAGTTATGGTAAGTTCTCTCCCTTCTGCTGAGATATTGTAACTGTGTGTGTGTGAATGCATGTACGTGCTCTCACTTGGCAGTTCATCAGAGTGCCAAGCAGAAAGAATTAATAGGAAAGGTTCTGCAGTCATGATTTTAACTTTGGCAAGTTACTTGTGTGTCAATGGAATGAGTGTGTGCAAGGGGAGTGAGGGGGACAACTACAGTTTCAAACAGGGAGAGAGAACTTTGAAACTATTTTGTTGCACATCTTATCTGATCACACCTTAATTTGGCCCTACTGAGTCAATGCACTTTGATACCATCCTTGATTAGTTATTGGTAGATGGTGGCCTGTCAGAGTCCTGCATGTTTACTCAGATAACATGAAAGGAATGTTCTATTAAAAAAAACCAAAATGCATTGACATGGGGTTGCGGAATTGAGAAGGATGGTTTGGGGAAGGCATTCGACTGCTGGTATGAAGAACTGTAGATTATGCCTGCCTCTGCCTCAGATTGCTGTGTTATTCTACAGTCACGTGGTTTGGGTCTGTAGATAATCTTGCCTTGAAGTGCGTGCAAATACGAGTTAGGTCTGGTCTTCAGTGGATTTGTGTTTGTCACAGGCTACGAGTGACCACAGACAGTTATCCTGAAATAATTAACATTTGGTCTTCCCAGAACTGTAATCTCAAGTATCATTGAATACTCCTCTGTTACAGGTTAGACCCTGTCTTGCTTTGCAAAAGGTTTACAGGTTAGACCCTGTCTTGCTTTGCAAAAGGTTTGCATCTCATAGTTATAGCATAGACACTTAAGTGAGCTGTGATATGAATGTATATAATATGAATTTTCCTTTAAAGAAAAAAAAGTGCTCACAGGTATTGGTTTGGCCACTCAAAATTAGTGGATATGTCTCTTTTACTGTGTTTCACTCCCTTTGCTTACAAAAAATAGACCAGGGACATTGTGGGTATAGATGAGTGTTTATGAAGCACTGGTATTTCTGTGATGGACACAACAGATGAGCGATTCTGCTTCATGAGGTTGGAATTGCATGTGGTCGACAAGGCTGGAGGCTGTTCAGAGAATGGTGATAGAAAACAGTGAATGCTTGTTTGTTAAGTATCTCTCTGTGCAACATAATAAGGATGCAGTTCTGTGAAAACAGTCAATAAGGCTGTATCAGAATGCACCTGCATTGCAGAGCCAAATTATGGTGACATGGATGAACTTAATCTTGGTGTTTCCAAATTTACTGTAGTGCTTTCTAATGGGCCTTTTGTATTTTTTTAATTTTAGCTTTTGTATGTTATCACTATATCAGGAAATACCTTATTGTGTTTTACTGTTTTGTTGGTCTTTTATGCTAATGGTGACTGATTTCAAAAATCGGTAGACTGTCTTAGGCCTGATATTCAATGATTTGAAGGTCAACAGGAAGTCATGACTGATAAAGATAAAAGCAATTCTGGTGGATCGCTGAAAAAAAAAGGGGATCTTTATGTGGTTGTAAACTAGAATTATTCAGACAAAATATATTGTAATACAGCCCAATGGAAGACTTAGCCTTTTGGGTACTACTGAGTGACTTTTCCAGCAGTCAGGGATTGAGGTGCAAGTATTTGGACAGTGGAAAACATTATCAGACAAAAGTGTTCTATTGGATACTATTGAATGTCTTTGATCTAAAGATAAGGAATATGGAGGAACAGTATCCCAGAACGCAATGACTGTGGAAAAAACTTTTAGGAAGTAAGTGAAATCATGAAAGCTCCCAGTGCGAAACTGTGACAGAAAAGGGTAAGTGCAACTGTTGAAAGCATAAATAATGGAGTCATTAAAAGAAGGCAGGCAACTTGTGAAGTATGCTGAAATACCACAAAATTCTGGGTCTGGTATTTTTAAGGTCATTTGGAAAATGGACAAAATGCAGGAATGCCCTCAAATCTGAGAACTGGGAAAATGCCATATGATGAGAGCATTTAAAAACACTCACTGCCGTGCCAGGAAAGTGTGCTTTTCTGCAGCCTTATCAAGCCACCAGGTGACTGAAGGACTGTGGAAATAAGTTGACTGAGATTTCTGAGCGTGGCTGATAGATTTGATATACATGCCAGTAGTGTAAATTGTTACGTGGAGGTGCAGCGTTGCCTTTTGAATAGCAGCTGATGGTGGTTGTGCCAGTGTGGAAGCAGAGGTACAGTTCACATGCTTTCATTTGGCATCTTAGTACTCACTGACTTTCTTTAGGTGTTACCCAAGTTTTCTACCTGTGTAGCTTTTGTCTCCTTTCCCTTGCCTCTTACAAAATATTAACAAAAAAATGTTTAACTTCAGCTTTACGAAAAAAAAATCAGGGGAATTAGAGGGTTAAGTTAGCATTTATCATGAACTGTGCATCCATTATTATGCTATGCTTGCATTAGTTACTTCATTAACTCTGCATTGCAAAGACAGTACATTTGTTTCCTTGCTAAATGAACTGCTGACTCTGACAGCCTAAACTTACTCTTATCATCTAGTTTAACTTCAGACCTTCCTGTTTTGATTTTTATTTTAACTTGTGGCCTAACTTGTATTTGTAGCCTAACAGAAGGAGCAAGGACTCAGTTAAACTTGTAAGACTAATCTCAGTAGATACTAAGAATTTGAACTCTCAGAGCTATGTAAAAGCTTACATAGTTTTCACAACTGTGATATTAATTAATTAAGCACTTGATTGAAAAAGGCTGTTAATCCATGTCAGGCAAATTTTACTATGAGCTGGTATTTCAGATGGTATTTTATCTCCTAACAGCATCGGATGAATGAGGCGGAACATTCCATGAAAAGTGGAAAAAAATACAGTACTGTGTGCCACAGAGTTGTAGTCTAGTTGCTATAAGCATCATTTTGTTTATGACTCATCGTGATGACTTTCATATGGGAGCAGAACTAGAATTGTACATACACCTTTTACTGGCATTTCATGATTTTTGAGGGTGTTTCTGTCTAACATGAACATTCTCTGAATGTCTCCCTGTATTTCCCTGCAGATTCCCTATAAAAAGAAAGCATTATAAACATTGGAAGGGGTTAATTTTGATCTCTGGCATATGGCTGAATGCTAATCTAACTATTGATATGAGCCTCTGTATTATTAAGGATATTTTCTCAAGGCTGTCTGAATTTGCAGAGCCATAACAGGCAGCTGCAGGGATGTTGTGTCACACTGTCAATGGGAATGCTGCAGTCATTTCTGCTACTTGCTCTCAGAAAGAATACGATGAAAGGAGTGGTAGTTTAGAAGCACAGTGGAGAGACAATATTAAAAATGGATATTTTTTTTAAAAAATAGAAGGGGAGGAAAAATCAATTACTTCATATAGTGCTTCATTCATGCTTAGCAAGGAGCATTCCCTACTTTTCCTCTCTCCAGCCAGGAGACGTTCACTGAAATAGAATACTGAAATGCTGCTAGTATCAGATGGGATGTTCTCATTATCCATATAAATTTAACATTTTTTTGAATCCATATTTGCCCACTAGAGGGCTGATTGCATCTTCCCCTTTAATATTTGATGTTGTCTGAGGCAGAATGCAAAGGCCTTAATTAAATGGATCATTTGTTCCCTTGAAAAAACCTGATACCACACAATATAAAACTCTGAAATAGAGCTTTCTGCTATATTCCATGGCTTGTTTTAACTCATAAGGCTCATGAATTTGTTAATGCTGTATAACATTCTTGCTCTCTCAGGGTCGATGCTAATTAGATAATTAGAAAATGAGTCCTCACAAGATTTTCTTTTTGAATGTTGTTTGAAAAACAGTATCAGAATGTCTGTTGCTGTTAAATTCAGACAACATGGCTTTGTTTGTTTGTTTGTTTGTTTCAGGGTTTGTTTTGATTTATTTTTTTTTTTTTAGGGATGATTTTGCTAACAGGTTTATCATTTTTATGCAAGTGCTGGGGAGGTTTTGAAACACCTTCATAATTTTATTTTGAAAATAGAAAAGGATGTTTCATTAAACTTTTATTTTATGGAATTTATGTCCTGAAGGCAGGTACCTGACAAAGCAAATAAGTAAAGGATGCGCAGAAGTTATGGAAAATAAAGTAGATGGCTTTATGGCACTGCAGATTTAATGCATGGGACTACTTAGACTTGATGGAATGGTAAAGTTCATGAATTTTTCACATCGGAACAGACTATTTAAAATGTAGAGTCATGTGCCCAGCATAGATAAGATTAATGCCCAGCATTCTATTTAAACTAGAGCAAAACCTTTCGAAGGGCATTTCTCTTAGAAAGGCAGCTGGATTCTCAAAATGTTGATTGTAAGGGCCAAGTCATTGATACCATGCTATAGCCTCCGAGTGTTGTTCCAAAGATGCATTATTCACATGGTTGGGAAATGCCTGTTTCCTCTTAGGTTTTTAACTTCTAGTGTCAGTTATTGTTTCTCGTAATACCTTTCTTTGTTCATAAAACAAGCTTCTGATAGTTGCTATTTTTCTCCTTAGATAGATTTATTTGGGTATTGACCAAGTTATCTTTTAAGCTTTACTCCAAACCTAGACAAGAGTTGCTGAATCTTTCCTGCAAAACCCATTTTCCACATGCCATGATTCTTTAAGTTTGCTGAGCCTGCTGAGTTTTTCAGTAATTGTTGATGACATGGACTTCAGAATTAGACACGCTGTTGCACAAATAGTCGCTCCACTCCTGTTTACAAAAATGATACCTGCTATTCCCCTTTGTTTTGGTGAGCCATATTAGCACAGCATTACACTGGGAGGTTGTTCTCAGTTGAATGGTTCCTTGTCAGAGCAATGATGTTGTGGAACGGGGTTCGGTTGAGAAGGAGCTTGATAAAAGTGACGCAGGGGATTATGCTGTAATTGCTTGCATTAGCAGCAAACTGGACTTGGTGACTCAAAGGTAATTTTCAGTTCAGTATTCACCTTAAAGTTCTTTCTAACGTTGCTGCTTTCAAGGATACACAGTCATCATCCCTGTAAGTACTACGTGATAACTGCAAAATACATATGCTGTATTCAAGTCTAGCATTTCGGGAAGTCTAGAACAAACTGCGCAAGTGTTTGATTTATAAACCAAGAGCTACATTTTTTAAAAGATCATTCTGATGTTCCTTTTTACTCCTTATATCTCATAGATGTAGGGATAAACAGCCAAATTGCTTCTGTTTGTTGATTTCAGGAGGGATTGGTGTGTGTGTGAGGAGGGATTTACGTAAGGACGTATTTAGCTTGCGTGTTCTGTTAGGGTTTGCAATTAAAACGGATTAAGAGAAAGATGAAGGTAGGACATGTGGGAACAACTGTTAGAAATGATAATGAATGTAAAAGAACGATGATGGAGAGGAAGAAAATGTTACAGCAGTTGTGTGTTGGAGTGCCTGCTAGGGAGGCATGGCTTTCAGCTACATGGCTTGAAATCAAGCTGTGGCTTGGAAGGGCCTGTGGAAGTTAAGGTATGTGCTGGATAAGTACTGCCTACATTACATGCACTAATCAGACTGCACACTTCATAAAGCTTCTGGCTCCAACATAAATAGTCACAATAGTAGATGTAATGAAGTATCCTCCTTCAAGGAGATGGATATGGGAAGAGCAGGACCAGCTCTCTGTGGCTTGTAATACCTGCAGAGACTTTTGTGACTGAGCAGTTTTGTAAATACTTGTAAAACTAGAGGAAATTCCCAGACAAAAACACTGAAGGTTGAATTCATGTTAACCAGACTTCCTCTGCGTGTCATTTCTTCTCTCAAAAGTGACCTGGGAAGTTAGATGTGCAGGTTCAATTTTTGTCTCTAATTGAAAAGTCTGAAGATGGAAAACCTAGTTTCAGATAACCCTTAAGTATGCCCCTTGGTTGACACATATTTGAGGGGTGGCGGGAGGGGGAAGTCCAGTAACTTGGATGCAGCTTCTATCTCTCTGTCAAATTATCAACCACAAAAGCTTTTAGCATCTTGAATTGTAAAACAGTGCGAGCTTCTCTCAACAGCCTGGTGACGTGGTGGAGGAACAGTTTTTAACAGCAGCATCCATAGCAGAGAGATGCCAACTGCTTCTTCCTGTTCAAAGAGTCTGTGTTTTACCAAATACGTTTCTGATCGTTATGGGAACAGATGGATCCAAACTCCCAGGCAAAACATTTTGCATCATATCAGTAAGACTGAAATGATGAAAGCCCATTAGACCAATGAAATACCACATTTGGTATCCAGAGTATCTTTGTGACATTGACTAGGAAAGCAGCACTGTTGTTATTCTCAGCATTTTGTATTTTAAATTCTCCGGTGTCTTCTCCAAAAATGGGAACAGAGTTATGTGGGTTTGGTCATAACTGCTTTTGTGGACTTGGCAGTACATGGAATTAACTTCTGTTATGAAGATCAGCCTTAACCTGGGATTTCCAGGTTTTCCAAGCTTTTTTTTGACTGAAATAAATCTCAGATGAACAAAGTAGGGGTTTTGTCTAGGAATTATTCCTGCTCCCTTAGGATTGCTATTGGAAAATTTCCAAAGTAGTGCCCTGTCTCTCTTGCAAGCCTAATAAATTGGCCTCTTGGTTTCTTCCAAGACCTTTACTTGTCTGGCTGCAAGGTATCATGTGGTCTGTTCTGCCAGTTCCTAGCTTAAATTTGTGCCCTTGGAGTACTTGCAGCTGAGCAGTGTCCCAGGTGAAACCTCCCCAGAACCACATAGTGAGAAAATATCCCTTCTTCACTCATTTGGAAGATCCCATCCAGTTAGAATTGATCCATATTGGGGCTTACCCCCATGTGACACTGTCTCTTCCCCTCACCCCGGTCCCAGGTGCCGGATGTGTTCGCTGACCTTCTACTCCAAGTCGGAGATGCAGATCCACTCCAAGTCCCATACGGAGACAAAGCCACACAAGTGTCCTCACTGCTCCAAGAGCTTCGCCAACAGCTCCTACCTGGCCCAGCACATTCGCATCCATTCAGGGGCCAAGCCCTACACGTGCAGCTACTGCCAGAAGGCCTTCCGCCAGCTCTCCCACCTGCAGCAGCACACACGGTAAGGGCTGGAGGAGGCTGGGGGCCCTCTGCACTGCATGTTGCCGTCATCCCAGCATGCTGTGAGCACCCTCAGTAGGCGACTGCCTTGGGGAGACCTTGCTGGTTTTCACAGGCCGGTCAGGTCTCGTACTCGACAAGTCGGCAGTAGCGGTATCTGACGCATGAGACTTGGCCCTGCTGTGAGGGGCTGGGTATGCTCAGAGGCTGGCGCTGCTCAGCCTGAGGGGCATCTGCAGTGGAGTGACAGTTTCTGACAGGAGGCAGGGCTGGTTATGTCAGAGTGAGAGTAGTGTTGGCATAGGAGGACTGTTGCCTGTCACCCCAGCATAGTTCTGCCAAACATCTCAAGTCCAGGCTTGCAGCCCCCCTGCTATTTCAGCTGTAGGCTTCCCACACACGGGTCTGCCAATGCCCCTCAGTCCAAGCTCTATGGTTCCTCTCTCTGGATCCTCCCCCGGTGCAGACAGACCATGGTCTCTTGAATCCAAGGGGAGCACGGTTTGAGACCAAGCGAGCTCATGCTGTGTTTGGAGTTCCTCTGTGTAGCAGATAGCGTGGTGCTGTCCCACCCCCTTTGTGCCCTCATTCCATCAGCACTAGCCAGATGGCGGTCATGTCCAACTGCTGCTGCTCCTCCTCCTCTTCGGCAGGATCCACTCCAAGCTCCACACGGCGATTGTCAAGCCGCACAAGTGTCCTCACTGCTCCAAGAGCTTCGCCAACACATCCTACCTGGCCCAGCACCTCCGCATCCACTCGGGGGCCAAGCCCTACACCTGCCGCTACTGCCAGAAGGCCTTCCGCCAGCTCTCCCACCTGCAGCAGCACACACGGTAAGGGCCAGAGGAGGCTGGGGGCTGGCCCTGGCCCCCCCGCGCTGCCGGCATGCACCTGTGGAGCACGCGCGCCAAGCATGCGGGGGGCGGGCGGGGAATGCGGCCGGCTGCACCCCCAGGAGGAGGTGACCCACCAGAGTGGACGGAGTGGAGGCTGCGCAGGAGACACTGACCACGTCAGGGCTGAGGTGGGCACGTGCTGTCCCTGGGGATCCTTGGTCTTGCACCGTGGGTGGCACAGAGAGAGAGAGCGATAGAGAGAGAGGCATTGGCTGCAGGGGATCCCAGCCTGGCACCACGGGGGTTGGACTGAGTGTGTGGAAGCTTCTCCTGGCATTGCAGGGGGACAGGGACAGATTAACACTGTAGGTGATCTCAGCCTGTTATGTAAAGGGAAAAGTGTTGGAGTGTCTATCCTGAGAAGGAACAGAGCTGCTTTCTTGGTACTGTGGAAGCAAGAGAACAGGTCATTTGGGACTCCTGAGCTTGGAGCAGGGAGCCTGGACCTCCAGACCCCTTCCCAACACATTTTCAGGTGGCCCACGTGCTGAGCTGGCAAGGCATTCATTCATAAGCTCTTGCTCCTCAGCCCTAGTCACTCTCTGAAATCTGCTTGACTGCTTGTCTTCTCTAACTTCTAGCTGGACATGGGAGCTGGGCAGAGCTCTATGTCCAGATAGAACAGCATCTGGAGGCAACATCATCCCTTTCCCTGCTCTCCTGAGTGGCTGTGAGATTTGATCACAGCATCAGGCCCTGGCAGCCTGCCCTGCCTGCCTGCTCACTGCCTCCCATTTGTGCTCTTCCTCCTCAACAGTATCCACACCGGGGACCGACCCTACAAATGTGCTCACCCTGGGTGTGAAAAGGCTTTCACCCAGCTTTCCAACCTGCAGGTAAGGGGCTGGGTGTGTCCTGCTTGCCAGTGGGGGTGGCAAGGATGCCAATGCTGGGGGAGGTGGAAGAATTGGAGCAGCTGGGAAGAGAGTGAAATAATACAGAAAAGCTATCGAAGCCCTGGGCCCAGGAGAAATTCCTGACTTTTGTGGCAGTAGTGACCCAAAGAAGTCACATAAATGGTTGCATCCTGTAAAACTGTAAACTTGACTTGAAAGCAGTAAGACCTTGACAAAGTCCCTCTCATCTCTTCTGCAATTTTCTAACTTTGTTGGAGCAAGACTTGCAAAATGTTTGTTACACCAAATAAAGTCTGGGTATTTGGTTGGGTTTTTTGTCTGTTTGACAATGATATGGAGTGCATAACGGTAGGGATTTAAGAAAGCAGAAGTGGTGTGTCCTGTTGCAGTATCCTGGAGGAGGGGAACTACGGGGTGTGCCAAATAGCAAAGAGTTGTAAACACCTGCAAGCAGTTAAAGCAAATCCTGCCCTGAAGGTATCAGATGCAGGGAGCAAATGTGTATGGAGACAGAAGAGGAGAGACCAAGAAAAGGAAAAGACTGAGAAAGAGTTGCATGGAAACTAAGATAGGGGTTGTCGAGCATTAGGAGTCTCTGCTGTCCAGAGATGCCTACTATGCCTGGGAAGAAAGGGGAAGGTGTGAATGGGGAAGGTGTGGTGGGCTGGTGGGAGAAGCTCTGTCCCCTATGCTAGGAGCCATACCTTCCTCAGCAGTCGGGAGCCTAGGGAGCTTGGGGCCTGTCTGGAAAGGGGTGTCAGAGATAAAGCCGTCTCCAGTACTAATACTGACTTCCTTCCTCGTGCTTGTTTTCTCTTCGCTCCCCACTGCTGCCGCGCAGTCCCACAGACGGCAGCACAACAAAGACAAACCTTTCAAGTGCCACAACTGCCACCGTGCGTACACGGATGCTGCCTCATTGGAGGTACACCTGGCTACGCACACGGTGAAACACGCCAAGGTCTACACCTGCTCCATCTGCAGCCGGGCCTACACCTCGGTGAGTGTTTGCTGCCCTGGGGAGTGGCAGAAATGGACACGCTTCCCAGGGAGCATCTCCTCCAGATCCAATGGGATCTGAGCTGTCTATGTCCCTCCCTGTTGGCCTTGGCTTTTGTGAGCATTGTTCCCTCCTCTCACACCGTTCTTCCCATTGCAGGAGACGTACCTGATGAAGCACATGCGGAAACACAACATCCCTGACCCCCAGCAGCAGGTGGTTCAGGCACAAGCCCAGGCCTCGCAGCAGCAGCAGCACTTCCAGCCGCAGGGCGGGGGGGCAGCAGGGGGCCCTTCTGGAGACACTAACCAACCCAATCCTCCCCCCCAGTGCTCCTTTGACCTGACTCCTTACAAGACTTCAGAGCATCACAAGGACATCTGCCTCACTGTCAGCACCAGCGCCATCCAAGTGGAGCACCTCTCCAGCTCCTAGAGAGACCTCAACCCAGGGAGCAGAACGCCTCTTGTGCATAGCCTGTGCCCAGGGGCACCGCCTGTGCAGCGGCCCTCCTTGTGCAACAGTCTCCGGCCTCTCCTCCTGCAACAGCCTCTTCTGGCCGTGTAACCCTGTTCATGGCAGCCCCTTGAACAACAGCCTGTCTCAAGGGGGTGCTCCTTCTGTGCAACAGCCTGCCTGGTAGGAGGATGCTTCCTTGTGCAAGAGCCCCTTTCCTGTGCTGGGATCACTTCCTCATGCAAGAGCCCCTCCTTTCAAACCCAAAGAAAGGCCCCTGTTTTGCCTTCTCTCTCACTGTAGGATGCGTATGAAGGGGGGTTGCGTGTTGAGACACACGGTGGATGGGATGGAGAGACGGCCCTTGTACGTACAGGGGCTTGGACACGTTTTCAGCAGGCCACAGAAGAATGTGGCAGGGTTCACAGCTGGATGGGGTTCTTTGAGGATTGCCTTGAGTGTCTAAGAGAGAAATATCCATTCCTGTCCTTCCTGCTTGAGAAAGGGAGGAGGGGTCGCTCGTCCTGCCCCAAGGACTGGATGGGAGAAACCTTCTCCCCAGTGGAAGGGGAGACCAGTGGAGGGGGGAGAGGTGAGGCATGTTCTCTGAGACGGACAGGTGCCTGCACTGCTCAAGGGCTGTGGAGTATTGCATTCTTTCTCCTCCCCTGGTGGAGAGCAATAGAGGGGAGTCTGTCTGAACTGGCTGCTGCCTCTCTCTCCCAGCTGTCTGAGCAGCATGATGGCCAAGGCCCCGTAGGAATGTGGGTTCCTGCTCATTGCTCTTCCTGCCTGTTGTGGATGATATCCTAGCAGCTTGTACTCCTCCTCTCCCTCCTGCTTTTCCTCCCACCTCCTCAGAAAAGCCTGCAGGCATCAACAACAAACCAAAAAGCAACTAGAGGGGGGTAAGAGACTGCCAAAATAATCATCACCCTTCTCTCTGCTCCCTTTCCTGTAAGGTGGAAATGACAGCAGTTCTCGCACTCACACACCTGTCCTGCCCTCAGTTTCCCAAAGGGAAAGAGGAGGAGGAGGAGGAGGAGGAATAGACCAGTCTTTTCAAGGAGCCAGCAGGAGGCAGGGAAAGGCTAGCTTCTCCTGCTCACCTCCCGCCAGAGTGTTCTCCCAGGCTCCCTCTTGCCAAGACGGGCTGGACTCACACGGCAGTGGTGGCCTCTTCTGGACCCTGGTCATGGGAGAGAATCCCCAAAAGGTGGACAGTGGAGAGAAGGGGATGAAGATCCCCACAGAGAGACCAATCTAATGAGAAGGGGGAGCCAACAAGAATAAACTGAAGGCCCCTTGAATTTATATATATATATATATATAAATATCTATTCCCCACCCCTGGCCCGCTCTGTCCTTGCTGTAACTGTTTCTATCTCTGTGTTTATAAAACGCATTATCCTGGCGAATTTTTATTTTCAATCTTTGTTTGTTTTTCCCTTTCTCTTCGTCTTCAATTCTTCTTCCCCTTTTTTTTTATTGGTCCACATGACTGCTAGTCTTGTGTGTCACTTGTTAGTTTCTTTGGATCATGGAGGCTGACTCGGAAGAGATTGAGAAGGCAAGGGAAAAAGCATGTTGTTGGGTTTTAAAATCAGTCACCCACCCAAAAGCATATAGAATCCCAGACTTCTGTATGAACAACCAATAGGGGCTTCTTATTTTTTTTTAACCACCCTGTATGGAAATAAATTGGTGTAAAAGGCTTCTTGAAGGTGCTGCTGTGAGCACCCTGCCCCTGTGACGTGTGTTCCTTCCCCCTGCACCAGACCACTGCACGAGCATCTTGCTGCCGTGAGTCCCGAGCGGCTGTGTGGGTGGATGCAAGGGCAGCACATCCCTGCCTTTGGGCAGTTTGCACAAGGAAAGCAAGGAGCCTGTGGCAGAAACCTTTTTCTCTGTGTTTAGTCACCAGGGTTGGCTGTGAACAGTTGGAGTGTTTTGTAGATGTGTAGGTTAGGCTATAAGAAGCTGTCTGACTTGCCTCCTGCGCTTCACAGGTGACATTTCAATCCATTTATCCTGTAGTGCGCACCAAGAACTAATGGGTATTTAAACTATGTGTTGACAAAATCTATTGGCTTGATTTTTGAGGCACTGGGACACAGAATCCCTTCCATTGGTAGCCTGCTGCAAGGGCTTCGTGTTCTTGCTGTTTAAATATTTCCGCCAGATTTCTCCTTGCTTTGGCTTCTGGTCACTAGTTCTGAATACATGCATCCTGCTGGTTCAGAGAGCCTGAGCACAGTGGTGCTTTTTCCCCTGGACTGGTATTTAAACACTCTAGTGTCTCTTCTCAGTCCACTTTTTAACAAGCTAAATAGATGAAACTCTGTAAACCTTCCACTGTAAGGGATTTCCTCCAGCCCATAAATTATTCTTGTCTTTTCTTTCTACATCTTGTCAAATTTTTCAGTATCTTATAAAAATGTTCCTTTTGGATTTGAGTGTTGGAAGCCCCAATGCCATGGACGAGGTCCCTTAGCCTTAAGTCTGCAGAGGATTGTGTTTGCCCAGTACTCACAGCGTTAAACGGGAGCTCACATTGGCTGCTTGTCTGGTGTGACTCCTCAGTCATCTGAAGTCTCGGCTTTCATGATAGTGTTTCCCCCTTTCTACAGGTATGGTCTGAGTTCTTATTTCCTAGATGCTTCACGTGAGGCTGTGTCCAAGTCCAGTTTGTGTGAATGGACCTGGCTGAGTGATGGACCAGGCTACTCACTGCTTTCCCAGTTCTGTGACCCACAAACTGTATCAGTTATTTTTTACTTTTAGATCCGGGTTGAAATGCTGCATTGCATATGACCTACGCTAACTTGAAAAGCATCATTGAGTGCAACTTTTTATTAGCTTGTTTTTGAGACTTGCAGGCTAGGCATTTCTTAATCCTCTTAGTATGTGATTATGTACAGTAAATCTTTCTGACTTATGGTGCTAGGTCAATGCCTTATAAAAATTTAAGTATGTTGCACCTATGCAGTCCCCTTTGTTAAACCAAATGTATAATGATGGCATCTAAGAATGAAATTAGGGTTTGGGTTTTTTCTTTTCTTATTTTACTACAAAATCTTTTATTTCATAAAATCCTTGGGTTATAGACTTTATTTTTTCATTCACTAATTCTTCATCTCAACAGCTTTTCCATAATTTTAACACTGAGTCATTTCATTTGCCTTTTGGGAATACTACCGTGAGTGTCTTAAGGTATTTCTCTAATATCCCAACTTTAATTAAAATGAGAATCAATGGGCTAGAGAGCTTGTTAGTGAACTCCTTTAGGACTCCTGTTTCTTTGCTGACTTAAAATGCATATCCCTGGTAGAGGTTGTCTCATCTCCTACTTTGATACTAAGGTACTAGATAGAAGTTGCTATTTTCATTTGACTGCCACATCCTATTCCTTTCTTTATATTTGTTGACTGATTTCCGCTATTCTATGTCACTAGCATTTTCACCATTTTCATCTAGCATGGATCAGTACTATTTAGTACTATTAGTAAGACTTCTTTGTTAATTTAAAAGAGAAAAAAATCCTATTATGACTAGTTTTGCTAGCCACAAAGTTTTACTTATTTTATAATGTCTAACTTGTGTCAGTTGCTGTCTGACCTTCATCTTTTCCATCTGTTGTGTTTCAGTTTGATTTTCTTTAAATTGTTTCTTGCTCACAGACTTTCTCACTGAACCCAGGATGAGCTTTTACCAAAAGGTTTCCTCTTTTTCATTGTGAAATTAGGGCTTTTTTGGCCACATGGAAGATTTTCCTCACAGGAGAGTTTAATTCACATTTCTCTGCCTTAATTCTTTTTTTTTTTTTTTCTCATGGACAACTCAGTTTATAGTTTTGCTCACCCTGGAAGTTAGCACAGACTCAGCACAAGTTTATTACTACTTGTGGCTCTCTTCTCCATGTCCCTATTCCATATGAACAGGACAAAGCTGCCAGTTTCACTCAAGTTATCTCATATGCATCACCTTGAAGTCTGAAAAATTGACTTGGCTTGGGTGCAGTGCCTTGTATTAAGTTGGGAAGGTTTTAAAAGTCGGAATTATACTTTGCCGACTGGTTGAATTCCCAGGGGAATGGCTCACAAGTTAAAATTCCTTGCAGACATTTTTTGGTTTATATGTTAAAGGTGCTTGAAATTGCCTTTCCAGGCCCCTGGTTTGCTGTGTTGTCTTCTCATGTCTGCTATCCTTCCCCTTCTTGGAATCTGCTACCTAGCATGGGGATCCATATGTATTTAAGGCTGTACAATTCCTGCGTTACCAGTCATTTCAAAGATATTATTCCTTGTGTGTTTGCAGCTTGTTGCTGTACCTATAGCTTTTACTGTTGCCCAGGAAGCACCTAATTATTTCTTACTAAGGGACTTCCCATTGAGTTTCAGAAATGCCACTTTATTCCAGGCCTCTTTTTTTCTTATCAGTGAGAATGTCCTCTGTTTACCCTGAGTCCTGTTGCTGATGTGGAAATAATTGGAGATACCTTACTCTCATTATCTTTGTCACTTATTTGAGTTTGGATTAGATCTTTGGATTCCCAAGGTTGTTTAACATTGTCAAAGTGCTTCAGGTGGTTTAAAAAGGAGAGTTGCTACCTGTGAGACACAAAATCTAACAACTTGTACAAAATCCTTCCCTGTTGAGATGCAGCCTGAGGTTCTGCAGCTTTTCAGCTTTGTGCACTCAAGCCAACGATGGTTCAACTATTTACCTCCCACTCACAAGTGGAAGATTCTCTTAACAAGATCCTATGGTCCTTCCTCTTAGCTCCCTGAATTCTTTGACCCTGCATTTTCATTGTGATGCCAATGCATTTGTTTTTGTATGTCTTATCCAAGAAGACTTGACAATGACTCTGCAGTTCTGTGTTAGGTTGCATCTTGTGTCTTTGCTGGAAGGCAGTAGCACTTTTTCTTCTTGTCCTTTTCTGAGCTGATTGTCTGTTCTTAGCTGGATTTTACAAATTATCATTGCTTTAAAAGGAAACATCATGTAGGCTGGAAATCATTTAGAAAAGTCACCCACAAACAGTAACTGAATCTTAGCTGTGACTAATGATAGTATTGCTGGTCTATAATTCAGTTAAATCTTCAAGAAAGATTTAAGACTTTCATAATTTAAAGCCTTATGGTTAATCAACCATATCCTTTATTAGAGTTTTTCTGTTGGTTATCACTGCCATTAAAACTGCCATTCTGTTTTACTACTATATTTTTTTTTAATCCATAGGGTCTTGTTATGCCTTTGTTCAGTGCATTAAAGTCTTCTTCTATAAGAAGTCTTTCTTCTTCTGTAATGAATTATAGACCATGATCAAGTCACTGCATTCATTCTTCCAAACAGCTAAATTAAATTGAGCTGGTTTAGGTGTCTCACATTAAGGCTTGGCTCCATCATGTATTTCTTACCTGTTGCCTTTCTTTTCCCTTTCAGTTACCAGGTTGTGTGGTGTTCACTTCAAGTCTTGCTACATTAGACCTAGATGGTTGTCTTGAGCCACCAAACTTACAATGCCATACAAGGATGTCTAGTTCTTTTAATGAGATCTTTTTCTTTAAATTCAAACCAAGAGCATTATGCTTCTTTTCTTAGCTGAGTGCAACCCCTATCAATTACACTGTGATTTTGCCACATCAGTGTTAGGTTAACTGCCTTACAGCAACCTGGATGAGCCCATTTGCTTTTCAAATACTTTTAAAGTATTTGCTGGTCTTCTGGAACACATTCAGAGCTTCAAAGTTGTTTGGAAAAGAAAGCCCATTGCTTCCATCTGCTTGCCAGATAAATCTTTTCAAATTACAGATTGTCAGTTTCTAGCTATGCAACTTTTAGGATGTTTAATTTAATGGGTAGAACTAAAGATCTTCCTAAATCTTATTGGCAATAGGTAATATTTCATTACCTCACAGATATGTCTACATCATCCAACTTTCTTCCTAATATAGAATATAATTATGAGATTCTGCCTGTCTTCTATATTTTTATTGATTATTTTATCATCTTTATATCATCTAAAGGATATATATCATGTTTAGGATTTTCTTCTAATATTTTGCAGGTAATGTACCTGAAAGCTGCCCAAGTTTACTAGTGCAGTTTCAGAACATAGAATGAAATTGCTCTGTACACTTTCTTAACTACAAGATAGGTACCTGTTCAATCGTCATTTCAGGTACAACAGATTAAATTTGTGTGCATGGTTTCTTGTTTCTGTGTAGTAGAACACCAAAGTACTAGAGAGATGTAGTAACTTGGTCCAACAAACATTTCGATTTCATGTAGTGTCTGTGTAATGAATGGAAAAAAAAAATGGAAGAAATCGTGACACCAAAGAACTAGAGTCTATGCCTAGTTTTGCTGCTGAATTAGGATATGTTATTGAAACATGGATACAGGTATAATCTGTGGCCTTTGGCATACTCTTTCATTTGTAAAGCTGATTAACCACCTTGCGGGCAAGTGCTGCAGATCAATCCTTTGCTATTTGTGAGAATGAAGTGTGGGTACATCCAGTGTTTCCTGAAGACAGGAAATGCAGAGCAGGGACCTGAACTGAGAATGTTAAAGAGTGAGAAGAGCCGAATGTACCTCTACAGCAAAAAGGAAACCAAACAAGTGTGTGAAGCTATAGGCCCTCCTGTTGAGTGATGCATAAGGATCCCTCTCAAGCACTGGCCTTCACCTCCTACTCCTTGGACAACGTTTAAGAGGTCTCTAAGGTAACTGAAAAGCTGGAGGCTTGAATTTGGTATGCAGATGTTTACATTTCCAAGGGAAAACACAGGCATCTGTAGATCAATAAAGGTTGAGAACCACTGCTGCAGACTGCTTCCGTAGGCCGCTCAGCTCCCCGGTGTGAGGTGCGCAGGCCTTCTGGGCAGCACGCCTGCTCATCCCACAGGCCCTCCCTCCAACCAACCAGGAGGAGGTACCTGTGGGTTTAACAACAGGATGTAATTGTGGTAGCAAACTGGGGTGAGGGGGAGGAGTGTGATAACCACCAGGGTTAGTGTCTGTGGCTTTGTTACTACAGCAGGATCAGTGAATGAGGCTGGGTGAGGGTTAGACATAAATAGCCGTGGACTCTGGAGCGTATTTGAGTGGGGGAAGCACCTTCTTGTAAAATCATCTGTGCCCCTGCCAGGACTGACTTGCAGAAGTGTTTACTGTAAAAAATATTACACCCCTGGCCAATAACTACCGTGGTAACACTCCCTCTGCAGGTGAGGATGCTTCTGGAACCCTGAGCACTTCTCTATGCTTTGACTTTCTAAGAAAGCAAAAATAGCAAATTTTCTAGATTCAGAACTCAGGAACTAGTTTCTGCTGGATTGCTATTTTCTACTGCTGTGAGACCACCCAGGCACACAAAACTGCCTCTCCCCTTTGTTTTCCAACTTCACAATGGCAGTTCATGAAGTTAAAGACATATTTGTACATTTTACTAAGATTTACCATTTAGATTTTAGGCAAGTGTCTCCTCTTTTCCTTGTAGTTTGTATCTGCAGTGGCAAGAAGTCCAGAGGGAGCTTGTCTCTCCACTTCAGTGGTCTGGTATTTTGACACATTCCTAGCCTTGGCTTGGAGGGTAAGATGGATTCCCAGGTGGTCTCTTAACCAAATTAGTGATGTCTGAGAATGTCTAATTCTTAACATCAGCTCCATTTAGCCTGGTAGCCCCAGGCAGGATGCATTTGGGGGATTCTGGTTTAGGGAGCAGGTTTTTTTTATGTAACAGCCACATCCTTCCCCTTAATTAAGAGTGTAAGGCAATTTATACAAGAATTTTGAAGTACTTTAAAGTGAGGCTTAACAATAATGTTCAGCTAACTGAAGCCAGCTGCTTCATATGAGAACTGAAAAGACTGAGAAATGTGTTTTGCATAATTAAAAATATGTCATAAATAACTTAAATGACTGTAGGAATAGGAATGGAAAACACCATCTTCAGAACACAGAGGATCTCTGAATTAACCAAATAACAAGAGGGTTGATAGTTCAAACAGCTGTAATTCATTTATATAACGGCTCCTCAGTCTTGCAGTGGAGGCTGCTGGAAGACTTAATCCCAGTATATCCACATAAATAAAGTCAGGTTGTCTTGGAAGATCTTTGGGAGGAAAGAGGAAAAAAAAACCAAATTCAGTCACTTCTCCTCGTGGCCAGAATGTGGGAGCACTCAGTCCTGAGCAGTGACTGTCATTGTACAGACTGTCCAGGAAAAAAAATGGTGGCGGTGAGTGCCCAGCAGAAAGGTGGATGAAATGTAGTATTTGCCAAACAAAACCAGTGCCTCCTAAACTGTAGAGGATGCTAGATTAACGCTGACCTCTTCAAACATCAATCTTGCGTATCCTAGACCCTAAGGTTCAAAAGAAGTATGATAATTTTGTCTCAGTTCCTTCATAATCACGCGTGACCTCACCCTCTTAACCCAGCACAATGCCACACTGTGCATGTAGCAAAGGACAGCGGGGGAAGCTCCTGAACTCCATGGCATGAGGATCTCTAACCCAGAAGTGACTTGTGGTGTGTGGTCACTAAGGTGATACTGGCAAGAGGAAGGAAAAGAGAAAACGGTCTTAACTTCATTCTTTAGCTGTGTTGTACCATAAGCCTTTCAAAGACTGTCTCATTTATGACACAGCAGCAGCTGCTCCTCACTGGGGAATTCCATGGTGAATGAAAACCAATGATAACGCGTCAACAGCACTTCCTCGCTCAGAGCACAGGATGGGTAAGGTTGGGAGGGGCTACAGTGGCTCATCTGGTCCAACCTCCCTACTCAAGCAGGGTCATCTAGAGCACATGGAACAGGATTGCGTCCAGCCGGTTCTGGAATATCTCCAGTGAGGGAAACTCCACAACCTCCGTGGGCAACCTGTTCCAATGCTCGGTCACTGCACAGTAAGGAAGTTCTTCCTCATGTTCAGGTGGAACCTCCTGTGCAACAGTTTCTGCCCTTTGCCTCTCGTCCTATTGCTCGGCACCACTAAGAAGAGCCTGCATCCATCCTCTCCCCCTCCCTTCCCCCCTGCCCCGCTTTAGGTATTTATACACGTTGATGAGGTCCCCTCTCAGTCGCCTCTTCTCAAGGCTGAACAGGCGCGGCTCCTTTCCCCCGTAGGAGCGATGCTCCACTCCCCCCCATCGCCCCGTTCACCTCTCGCGGGGCCCGCCCGGGGCCGACCTACAGACCCGAAATGGCGGCGGGGGCGGGCGGAAGTGCCCGGCGGGACGGGCGGAAGCGGCTTCGCGGCCGAGCAGAACCGCTTCCGGGGGGCGCGCGCGTCCGGTTGGTGGCGGAAGCGCCGTGCGCGGGGCCAAGATGGCGGCGGGAATGTACCTGGAGCACTACCTGGACAGTAAGAGCCGCGGGGCGGGGCCGCGGCCGCGCCGGAGCCGGCCCGGCAGGGGCACGGACGGGCCGAGGGGCGGGGCCCCGAGGGGGCCGAGCGCTTCTCCGGGGCGCCCGCGGGCTCTCCCAGCGCCTCGGGCGCAGCCCGGCCCGGCCGTCGGCCGGCCGGTCCCCGGGCCGTGCGGGCAGCCCCTCCGCCGTGGGGCAGGGCTCGGCTGCGGCTGCTGCGGGAGCCCCGACACCGCGGCCCCGCGGCTGATTCGTCTCTGGAGAAAGGAGCCCAGTGCTGCTCCAGCCCCTCGCGGGAGCTGGACTGTCAGTGGTTTCCCGGGATAAACGTCAGCAGCAGGGCCGGGGGAGTCAGCCAGAGATAACTTTTGGATCTATGGGACGGTGGTCTCGGTAGCTTCCTTCGCTGTCCATTTACAATCAGCCCTGTTTTTGTGGCCGAAGAGGAGCTGTGTAAATGATGATGGAGTTGGTAACCTTATCGGGGAGCCCTCCTTTGATACCGTCCTGCCTTAAGGTGATCGGAACTTTGTCAAACTCTGCCCTTTGGGGATAAGACTTGCAGTGCCTGTTTTACCCACGTGTTCTTAAAACAGCCGAGTAAACTAATCAGAGGAGTTTTTTCTCGAGGAAGAGACTATTGTGTTAAGATCCAGTAACATATTCTTTCATGAATGCTTTTTGCACATTTTCCTGCTGATCTGGTGTCACTGGAGACAGGGTAGCACAGTGATGGGGTGATGTGTTTACAGTGTGGGAGTTCTGGGAACGTGTCTTTTACTTCACTCTGTCTGGCCAAGTTAAATCTCTCGTTCTGTATTTGTGTATGCTTGGAAACATTGGAGCTTGGCTCTTCAGAAATTTTGCTACACCGGGTTTCTTCCAGCACAGAGCTAATAAGGTGTTTATTTGAAGACAAGAGGTCTCATTCCTTGTGTCTTCAGTGCTCCCTTTGCCATTAGGAAAGGAAACCTCTTGTAAATTAAATTAAGAAAGTTTAAGAACCATAATAAATTTCAGAGAAAGCTGGAATTGAACAGGCAAGGATCTAGGAACTGCAAGGAAGGAGGATGCAAAAGCCAGGAAAAAGAGTTGGATGAGAAAGCAGATTGTGAGAGAGAAGCAAAGATTTATCTTCTTGTGCTTTTCTCATTCCACTGTAGAAGACTGCAAGTGACTGAGGCTCCTCAGTGGGGAGGACAAGGGCTAGACAAGAGGAGAAAGAAGCAGGTGGATAAGCAGTAAGTGCATGGGGAGGCTGCAGGGTTTTCCTCGTTGGAGGGCATTATATTTGGTATGAGCTGCAGTGCCAAGATAAAGGAGTGAAAGGTTGGGATTTGCAGTTGGTAGGCAGAGATGAGCAGGATGCAGTGCTGAGTGTGGAAGGGTGTGGTAGATACCAAGCTGGAGAAAAAGGAAGCTGTAGACGGTCTTGGTGGCTGGAAGGTACTCCCACCAAAGTCAAACACCTCTGGATCTCCTTGTCACTTCCAACTAAAGTTTACCCACCCCTGGAAACTCCTCTTTTTCTCTAGTACAGGCATGCAGAGAAAATGATACACTTATTTTCCTCTCTCAGCTGAGATTTGTGGTCCTGCAGTTGAATTAGAGATTCTCCATTAGTATGGTGGTGTCGGTGTTACTTAAAAACAGAAAGCAACAGGCACAATCTAAAAGTCCTTAAAAACTCTGGCTACAAAGATGTTAGAAAGAACAAAACAGTTTTTGCAGCAATGGTTTAGCCTGGTTTGCTTACCTGTAAATCTCTAAAGGCTTTTTTCAGTTTCTGGTACGATATTACTTTCCTCTGTTTGCTAATTGTGCTGTGCTTAATTAAGCTATGCTTAACCTGCAGTTTCTTTCAGAAAATCATATTATATGAATTGTAATACTTACAGTCAAAGAGCATCCATCTCGTTTTTCAGTAAGTTAATCTGCTGATAGGCTTTCCTGTCATGCTTTTGTGACTTGTGTCTGTAGTTAATTTTCACATTTTCAGTATTTAGTCATTGCACCTTTAACACCTCTTACCTGTCATGTTAAAGTGTCCCCTTATTAAAAGTTTATTCCCTGTGTAGATTGTAGTTGATTAAATCTTAAACCTTCTTTCTGCTAACTTAGAAAAAAAATTACCTGGGATGACATATTTTTCAGTTTTCTGATTACCTATATTGTTCTTGTCCCAGCCTGCTCTAATCTTTTTACATTCTGCATGAACTTCTGACTCTGTGAAAATGCATAATCTTTTAATAATGAGTCTTCTTCATGATACTGACTGAGCGACAGCATTTGGTTCCCTCCTTGCTACTTCCTTTTTCTTTTTTAAAAATTATTTGGGTATTTTAAAAGCATTCAGTTCAGTTTTAAGGTAGTTCACTGATGTCCCAAAACTTCCTGAAATTTAATACAAACAAATAGTCCAGAACCTTTGGTCATCTCTTCTAAAGATGTCTAATTTACTTCTTCATTTACATTTGCATCTTGGAACTGAATTCTTTTAGTATTATAGTGCTATTGCAGATACAGTTTTCGATTGAATTTTTTTTCCTCCTCCCACAGAGATTCTCTTTCATGTGGTTTACTGGCTGAATCTGCTCAGGGAATGAATGGGGAGTGTGTGAAAAGAGGGCAGTTGTTTGTAGGGCCTCTTCATATCTTTGAAGAAAGGAAAGATGTATAAGGAATGAAGATTGTAGAAAGGAAAAAGGTGGCCTCCTGTTTGAGGCAATTGAGTACCACTCTGATAAAGTGAGTTTGATGTTCTTATTTTGTGTTGGGAGTCACACTTTTTACAGGTTCTCCTTGCTTGGATTGTGCTTCCCTCAAATTATGAGTGAAAATTTGCAGTCAGGGGAGCAGATGTGCAGAATGCTCATAGCTGCAGCTAAAGTCTGCTTTGAACAGATAATTCTGAAAAGTCAGGCTATTCAAGAGGCAAGATTGTAATTAGCTGGCCTTCGTGACTTTAATCTCTTTGCCTCAGTAAATCTCTTAGCCTTCATTCTTTTGGTGAGGGAAGTGGGCCACTCCACTGCAGCATTGTGAAAACCTTTTAGTGTCACAATAATGAACACCTTGAAAAGCTGATTACCAAGTCAGTTTTCACTCTGGGCTCTGGGCCATGTGTGTGTGTGACTGTATCAAGCAAAGAGAATAAAATACTCAGTCACTTGGAATGAGAAACACCTTCCATGAAACCTCATGCAGTTTGGTAGTTAAAAACTGTATGTTAAAATGCGCGAGCAGTCTGACAAAACTGTGCATACAGCTTCAGTTGCTTCAGTTCGTGTATTTTGAGTCCTCTGCTTTGGACATCTAAGGTTCTTTTCCATTACATTTTTGTGGAATAACCGAATTAAGAACTGTTCTCTTAGTAAAGGGTGTCTGGCTGGGTCTTAGGTCTGATATTTCAGTAGCTTTCAAGTCTTTGCTGTAATTTGAACCCAGGTTTAGACCGAGGATTAGACATGCCTTTGCCTTTGCTCTAAGCTGTTAATTACAAAGCAGCTCTGTCTGAAATGTGTTATGCTCCTATAAGATGTTTTTTCAGCAGAAAAATATGCACATTCCTTCTGTGCTGAACATCCTGAGAGAGGAACTCCCGTCTTGTCTACTCTGATCACCTTCATTCCTTCATCCTAATTACTGAAGCTGGCCTTTCAATGATTATACTGAGCCAAAGGATTCAGGCAAGGGGAGAAGAGGAATGTGTCTTGTTCCAGTTTTCTTCTTCCTGAGTGGTTTTCCCCAGTTGCTGAAGTAAAGCGTAAAAATATTTCCATCACTTCAAATATTGTCCTCTTCCTGGTCTCTAAACTATTTTATGCCTGGTTTTGAGGGGAGAAAGCAAGATAATATAAGTGCTTTCCCTCAAGCCAGTAAAACAGTGCAGCTTTAGTAAGGGAAAAACTATGGGTGCAAAGGAGTTAGAGATATAGAAGGGAACGGGGGAAGAAAAGGAAGAAGGAAGAAAATAGTAGTTTATGATTAAAAGATTGAATGTGCATGAAGACTCATTAGAGGAGCTTGTGCTTGCTTGAACTTGAGTTACTGTGCTTGGCTCTCATACTGGGTTAGAAATACTGTAGTGGAGACTTGGAGGGGGAGAATGTGACTAATACAGATTTTCCAGAAGACAAGATGCAAACCCCGAGTGTTCTTTGTGTTTGGAGTTTTGGAGAGGATTGCAGATCTCCTTTGTGAAAGACGTCATTGAAGCACACACATACTCAGAAAACAGTCCCAAATAATTTTCTACAAGTCTCTGTATGTGAACATGCCATGAGTGTAGGGATTGTTTTTATAGTAGACGAACTGCTGTGCAACTAGGTGTATTTTGTGCCATCAGTGCTTCCCTCTTTGCCCACCCAGGGGGTGCCAGAATGAAGTAAGTATTCTTAGTGACAACACACAAATGTATCTTTTATGGCAACAGAACCAAGGCATGTATGTTTCCTCAACAATAAAAAGTGTTTCCGTCCTCCATCACCTGAAACCTCTGAGGAACTAAAGCCAGTATTTCATCTAAATTAGACCTAAATGCTTGGGGGAGTCATCAGTAGAGGGCAGGTAGCCTTGGTGAGCTTGAGACGCAGAGGGATGTCGCTGGCCTGGCTGCTCTAGTGGCTGCTTGATACAAATTCCATTGTCTTGGAGGCCACCAGTCAGGACTTGTTCCAGGAGCAGCCTCTAGGACATACCTGCCTCAGTGAAGAGGGTGATGGAGAAAACAGGCTTAGATGAGGAGACCTCAGCTGGTAAGTTAATGTGGTACTGTGTAGTCATTTTACTTTGTGTTTTCCCCCTTTTTTACACTGATTAGGAAGGCATCGAGTTTCCTTTGCTCCTCTATTTGCATGAGTCAGTGGGCACATAAAGATGCACCAGTTCAGGGCTTGTCAATACTAGAAAACTTAAGCCGACACAAGCACAGAGCAACAGAAGCAGCATCTGCCCTTATGAAAGTCATCTTCTTTCTTCTACAACTGACATGGGAATGTCCTTTCATTCCTTGATAACATTAGCTAACCCAGTAAAATAAGATTATTCTTCGGAAGAGCTACATCTGTCAGGATTTTCCTCTGTGTGGCTTCATCAAATGAGGGTGTGATGTGTATTGTCATCTTAATACTCTTAGAGGACATGGGTGTGATGTCGGAAATTGCTGTGGCAAGCCTTCAATTCCTTCCCACACCTGGCTGCATTCCAAATTCCCCAGCAGTTCTTTTATCTCTTGTTTTCCCGTCTTTACAGTTATCCCCTCCCCAGTGTACCATGCAGCCATACCCCCCATCCCTGCCTCTAAAGTTTCTCACATCGTACTTCAGAAATGCAAGTCTCTTAATAAATTTTTTCTATATTCAGCACTATTTCAGTGTAATGAAAGATGCATTTCACCTTTCTGAGACTTCGGATTAGTTGCACCTGTGATGCAGCACACTTCATCTGTGGAAAATTACAAAAGATATCATGCAGGGAGGAGAATTTGGTGATTCATAGGCAGCATTTGTTTCTGTGTGAAAGCTACTGGCACAGCCCACACTAAGCTGATACATTTAATGACCAGTTCATTTAGAATTGATTTTGTTGTTCATTGGTACTTTTGTTGGAGCTGATACAAGGTGACTTTACATGGCAAAGCAATACTGTGTTTTCTCTGTATTTCTTCACTCACCCAACTGCAAATCCGATGTGATGGCTAACAGCCCTGTGAGCTCTTTGGTGGTTGTCCCTGCCTTTGGAGGTCTGTGGCAGGCTGGAAATGTCAGAAGCCTTGCGAGTTTCGTTTCTTGTGTCAGTCTTCCAAGCCCTCCAAGCTTCAGAAATCAAGGTTGATCTTTAAGATCCCCTTTCTGAGACTTAACAACATTGCCTGCTATCTTGGCTGCAGATGCTGTAGCACTGAGGTAGTGTAATAAGAAAATGACAGAAAGAGCCCTCCCTTCTCAGGAAAACAGTCCACACTTTGGGGTAATATTGGGTTTCTGTAGCTGTTGCATTGACTGTCATTGCTGACTAATTCCTGTTTCTTTGGACAGTGCCTGAAGGAGATGTGCTTGGGTGGACTCGTGCAGTGCACTGGCCCATAGCTTGGGATGTATGACATGGGCACAGAATTCCTGGGTGCCTGTAACTAAATCAGTCTGCCACACCCGAGCACCCTCTTTGTAAAAATGTGGGTAGTATTATCCCTCACTGAGGTGTTGTGAGGATAATGGTACGGGTTAGGATGTGTACATTGCAGTAGGGCCGAGCAATGTATGAATAGAGGGAAAGGTATACATTATGTTTGTGCAATAATTTCAATAAACTGTGTAGGAGGATGATTAATTACTTGAGAACACAGGACAGAGGAGAAGCATTAGTTTAAAAGGGTTGTACCGTCTGAAAGGAGGGATATAAAAGACATCCTGCCCCTAATGAGGAAGCAAGGGAGCGCCTGAAGATTGCTGTAAGCCAGTTGTCATGCAGTAACTTCAAGTGCTACAAAATTATGAGAATCACGGAGTACAGAAAAGTCCAGTGTGCTTCCCCCACAAGATACCAGTTGCTTTCCTCTCTCAGGGGGCACAGAACTTGCCCTCTCATTGTGGCAGTCCCTGACACAAGTAGGATTTTTTTTAATTACCTTCAGCAGTGTGGTGTCTAAAAGGTTTGCTGAAATATATACTGTTCAATAAAGCAACTGTGGTTATGTTTCAAAATGTATTTTCTTGGTTTTTAATAAATTTAAACATGCATGTAAACGTAGTGGGTAAACAGATGTCTCGGGAATGGCACTGTGTGCTTGTATGGTCTTCGGTACTACTGATCATCTTTTAGGAATTTGTACAATACAAATGCATTGTTTGGCACAGTAAAGATGTGCTGCGGGGGCTTGAAGCACAGTTGAAGTTATCAGGCTGTGTAGGCTCGCTCTCTGCGTGTGTATGGTGTGTGTGTCGGAGGTAACATCTGAGTTAAGTAGCTGAAGTTTAACTGTCAGTTGCCTGCACCTGACACCCCACGTGTGCTTCTACAAAGAAGTAAATAAAATAATAATTATTGGAGAGGAAAGAGAGTGGTGTTGAAGTCTGACTTTTGGAGAGTGCGTGTTTTTTAAGGGAGAAGACTGCATGGTAATGGATGCCCATGGAAGAATGAATGGGGAAAGGAGTGACAAGGAAAGAGGAGAATAAAAAAGACAGAAGAACAGGGCGAGCGAAGGGATAAGAACTGAGGAAAGACAACGACAGGTGGAGAGACTTTGGCTTGTGATCAGAAATGAAAACAAGGTAAGAAAAGGAAGGGGTGAGAAAAACTCATTGAGAGACCTGCCCCAATGATTTTCAGGGTAATTGTACTGTGAGAGGAATCAGTAGGGCTGCACATGGTTTTTCTGTGGATTTGTGCAGGTGGCTGCATTGGGAAGAACATTACCAGCAGGTCAAGGGAAATGATCCCGCCCCTCTACTGAGCTCTAGCGAGGCCACGTCTGGAGTGCTGTGTCCAGTTCTGGGCTCCGCAGTACAAGAGAGACATGGAGCTCCTGGAGCAGGTCCAGTGGAGGGCAACAAAGATGATTAAGGGACTGGACCATCTCTGTTACGAGGAAAGGCTGAGGGAGCTGGGCCTGTTCAGCCTTGAGAAGAGATATCTGAGAGGGGACCTCATCAATGTCTCTAAGTATCTGCAGGGAGGGTGTCAAGAGAATGGATCTGGGCTCTTCTTGGTGATGCTGAGTAATAGAACAAGAGGCAGTGGGCAGAAAGTGATGCACAGGAGGTTCCACCTGAATATGAGGAAGAACTTCTTCACTACACAGGTGACTGAGCGCTGGAACAGCTTGCCAAGAGAGGTGGTGGAGTCTCCCTCACTAGAGATATTCTGGACCATCTGGACACAATCCTGTTCCATATGCTCTAGGATGACCCTGCTTGAACAGGGAGGTTGAACCAGATGAGCTACTGTGGTCCCTTCCAGCCTGACCCATTTTGCGATTCTGTGACACAGTTGCATTAATGCCAGCCCATGCTTTGGGCCAAGCTGCTGGCCTTGCTAGCATTTTCTTCCCTGGACATTTTCACCATCCTCCTCTTCCTCTCTTGCTTCCATTTGTGTGGAAAGAGGCCCTTGTTATTCCTTACTTTTGTCTCCATTGTTGTGTATCAGAGACAGTGACTATGCTTCACTGCCCTCTTCTCTAGTGATCAAGGATGCCTCTAGGGTGTTTTTTCTTTACAATTATCAGTTTCAGAATCTGAGAATTATTTGGGTATTTTGTGATAGATAGTATTTAGTCATGAAAGTTTTAGGTGAATCTTATTATAAGATGAAAGAGCAAATGAATTGTAAAGGAAAAAAGGAGAAATTCATGGGGAAATGAAATTACATAAATAACATGAGTTCTTTTAGAAGTACTGAGGAAAAGTGTGTGGCATTGGTAGGAATAAAAAATTGGAAACTTAAATCTTAGATTTTTCTTTTTTTAATGGGACTGTTAGGGTGGGGATGTCTAATACCCAGCACAGCATAGGTCAAGCAATTTCAGCAAATGTTCTGACCCCTGTGATAAATTCTGTGATGCAGAGAATCACTTCTGTTTAAGGTTACACAAGAGCTTTGGAGTTAAGCTGCAGATAGTAGAAAACATCCCCATAGCTAGATTAAACTATGTACCATAAAAATAGTTTGTCGTTCAGTTAAAACTTGCTCGGCTGCAGTTTTATCTTGTTATGCTTTTTGTTATTGCCAGACTCTCTCTGGATCATACTTAGTAATGTTGTGCTCAGCTTCCTTCCACTTTCAGTTGAACAGATAAAGTATCTTTGTAACAGTTCTGATTATAAAGTCACTGTACTGTCACTTGTTTCATTTTCTCCCAGTTTATTGACAAAGCAGTTGCAGAATGTTGGTCCAGTAATAGATTTGCAGAGTGAAACATTCTGCTGGGGTTTTAGGAAATAATTTTGCTGGTTTTAGCAGGGAAGGAATTAAAATGACAGGGGTTTGTCTTGTCAGTCCCCATGGAAGCCTGCTCAGCTAATGAGCATCTGGAAGGTTGTGGCTCCAGGAGATCATGGCTCTTAAGTGCTAAACTGGTAAATGATGGTGCCTGTGCTGAGCCTCTGCTTGGCCAGGTGACACCTCTCCCCACACTGCCGGGAGCAAAGGGCTCTGCATACCTGGAGGCAGGTAGCAAAGCAGGGGAGCCATTGGCCTGGCTGAGGGGCTGGCAGTGAGGGGAGCAGGCACTGGGCAGAGAGGGTCTCTGAAGGGTAGGTGGCACAGGCTGAGGAGACGAGGCTGGGCATGTAGAGGCAAAGGGAAGACAGGCACTGTCCAGACGAGGGCATGTGCTGGTGTTAGTGGTGGTGGCAGATATTTACAGTGACAGCTGTAAAAATTAGAATACAGTCCCTTTCAGGTTCTGTGCAGAAACAAACTCCTGCTTGAGTTTCTCCTGCTGTGAGAACATCAGCATGAAATGTGACCGTCACCCTGTGTGGGGTTGTTCTGCCCACAGAACAGCATCCTATTGGCTTTTGTCGTAGCTCAGGTGCTTGCTCTGTCTAAAGGTTTCTAGCCCTACCAAGGGAAAACTGACAGTACCTGGTGGAATTTGTGCTTTTACTGTCTGTCCTTTTCAGAGGAGAAAAAGAAATTACATTAATCTTTTTTAAAAACCACAAAGTCCAGAATTTAGAAGCTGTGATCTTCAGGATTAATAAACTCAATATAAATTCAGCATATTGTGTGCAGTACAAGAACAGATACTGTTTTCCTCTAGAGGATAGCTGTCTTGCCTTCTGCAGGGGCTGCTTTGGAGAGGAATGAAAAGCAGCATGCTGCAGCATGACCCATGTTTCATTTGCTGTGTAAATTGGAAGGTTTAGAGTTGATGAGTCTGGGGATTGCAGGAAGGAAAAAGGCATGGTCTTGAGATCCCCAAGCTGGATTTTGTCCCTGCCATGAGCTTCCTCTGTAAGCAATATTTTCAACCCTGTGTCCCCATCGTCTTCTGACATGCTTTTTTGAGCCATAGGGATGTAATCTGGTAGCTGGCTGCTTAAACCTTGTGTGAAGTCTGTCATGCCGAACAAACATGGAAGTATCAAATTCAGGAATGTGCAGACAGAATTTTGCCGCTTAGTAATTTTTTGAGAATTTGAATTTGCGCTGTTAACTGTCCTTGAATGCAGGGGGGTGATGTGTATGTGCTGTGGATTATGTATCTGGGTACTCAAGGACTCCTACTACCCGAGCATTTCTCAGGTAACTGAATTAGAAATGGCAACAGAAATCTGTTGAAGCAGCAACTTCATTACTCAGAAGGGTTCTGTGTGTAACTTATTATATTCTGTTTGTGCAAAAAAGTAAGTAAAAGGAACAGCTTCTGTGCTCAACAAGGCCCAGAGTTGGTTTTACTTCTTATAGGAATTAATTTCACGGCCTGTGGATAATACTTGTTAAAACCTTCCTCTTGCATACAGACCTTCCCAGACAGCTGGTTGCTTTTCAGGGAATTGAAAAAGCATTCATTGCTGTAGAAATATGTGCAGTGAAAATAGAGACTGCTGCCTGGACTGATGTATTGGACAGCTTTGGTGATGGCCAGACACACCTTCCGTTGCACTCCCTGTGTGTTGGAGAGCGAGTTCAGGAAGCAGATATGCTTATGTTGGATTTCTGAAGAGCTTTTCCTACCACCTTTTTTTTTTTTTTAACCTGCAAGAAAGATTTTTTTTTTTTAATTACATATAAAGGTGACAATAATCAAGCTTGGATTTCAGGTTAATGCAGTAACACTAGATCTCATTGTGATTAGACAGGCATGGAAAAATGAGAATTGTTTTTATCAGCTTTGCCAGTTGAGCATCTGGTGATGCCTAGGGGGTGAGTGGCATAGTGCATTGAAAATTAATTGACTATCAACTTCACATTGCTCATTCAGAGCCCTACAAACGTTTATTATTCATGATGTATGGCATCCTTCCAGGTTTTGGATGGACCGCACTGAGATGACGGTGCAGAAGGCACAAAAAGGAACACGTCACGGGGGGTTAAAACTGATATTCACTGCTCCCTGTCCCATCTCAGACTTGCTCTTTGGCTCTGCCCAAAGCATCTACCGTCCCCTATATGTAAAATGGATGCACTAAAACAAACTCATTTTTCGGTGAATTAGCATTTGATCAACTTTAATTTCTACATCTTTGTGTAGGAACAACTAAATGGCATTATTTACCAGCTGTTGTACTATTTTTTTCATTACTAAGTGGAGTTTTTGAATATGTTATAATGACTGACACTCATTACAAATTTTGAGTTTCTGCTTTCTTAATGTGGATCCTTCTGCATGGCAGCAGTTTTCTGCTAACTAATATGTATTCTAGAACTGTGCTCCCAGATTAAATCTATCACGTTTTTATAGTCTGTCTCCTCTGGAGCTGGCAACAAATGGAAGCACGCTAATGTGCACCAGGGACATCATTAGAGGGGTGTATGTGTCGTTATTGGTTAGCTTTGTTCCTGCCTTGGCATCACGGACATGAACCTGATTTCTCCATGTATTCTCCTTTCCCTGAAGGTATTGAGAACCTGCCATTTGAATTGCAGAGAAACTTCCAGCTCATGCGAGATCTGGATCAGAGGACAGAAGGTGAGACTTCAAGATGGTTTTGTTGCCAAGACAATAAGTATGTAGCTTGACCAGCTTTTCTTTGCTTTGCTTTAATCATGGGGATCTCCGGGCAGGGAAGAAAGCCTAAAGCTGCTCCACTCATTCAGTCTCTCTTACTGGAGGGCACTGTAGCATTGTGTATATTTATGTATTTAATGGTAAACTTGTTTCAGACCTCAAGTCGGAGATCGATAAGTTGGCCACAGAGTATATCAGCAATGCACGAACTTTGTCTTCAGAGGAAAAACTGGGGCTTCTCAAGCAAATCCAGGAGGCCTATGGGAAGTGCAAGGAGTTTGGGGACGACAAGGTTCAGCTGGCTATGCAGACCTACGAGATGGTATGAAGGGAAGTGTCTAGTGCTTATCGGGTGAAAGTCCAAACTAAAGCCCCCAGTCTTGAAAGGCCTTGATCTCTCATTTTTAGGCCCTGCCCGCTCTTTGCTTCTTGGCTCTTTAGTGCAAGCCCCCTCTTCTTTGCCCTCCTGGGCTCTGTCCTGTGATGACCCCTGGTCACTGTTGTCTTTGCAGGTTGATAAGCACATCCGGCGGCTGGACACAGACCTCGCTCGCTTTGAAGCAGACCTGAAGGAGAAGCAGATAGAGTCGAGTGACTATGACAGTTCTTCCAGCAAGGGCAAGAAGAGTGAGTACCACCACTGGGCTGCAGATTGATACAGGAGGCAGCCAAGTGACTATGGAAGTGGTGGGGATGAAGGCAGGCACTGGAATGGTACAGATCAAAGACTGTTGCGCTGGAATCTGAAGGACAGGTAAAAAGATGGTGACCTGTGAGCTTCTTGTGTGAGGATATTCAAGGCCACTAGATAAAATTAAGATGGAGTGCATGGCCCAAAGCCCATATACACTCCAAAGTAGGAGTGTATTTTAATGCTGGAGAGGTTGTCACCGTGTCAAGTGTCTGTTTTGATGGGGTGACAGATGCAACACCTTTTTCTCTTCTTATCAGAGGGCCGAGCCCAGAAAGAGAAAAAAGCTGCCCGTGCTCGCTCTAAAGGGAAGAACTCTGATGAGGAAGCACCAAAAACTGCCCAAAAGAAATTGAAGCTCGTCCGCACGTAAGTGTTTTAAGAGACTTGCAGGAATCAGGAGCAGCACTAGAAATCAGACCAAGGAAGGCCCAGCCTGAGAAGGATAGCTGATCCCCACCCAGACTAAAAGGGTTTATCTCCTGTCCCTTCTTGGGAAGCAAGAAGAAGGGAATCTTTTTAATTCTTTCAGGGGAGTGTGGGTTGAAGAGGAAAGCGGGTCACTTCACTGGAGTTGGGTATATGTGCTTAAATAAGAGAAGCATCTGTCTCTGGCAAACAAGGACGTTGTCTTTGGAGACATGAAGGGACTCAAAGCCGGTTATTTTGCTGACCTACTTTATTCCTGTCCTGCAGTAGCACAGAGTATGGGATGCCTTCAGTCACCTTTGGAAATGTGCACCCTTCGGATGTACTGGATATGCCCGTGGACCCCAATGAGCCTACTTACTGCCTCTGCCACCAGGTCTCCTATGGGGAGATGATTGGCTGCGACAACCCAGATGTAAGAGCCTGCACTTGATGGAAATGGGGGAGAAAGGCGTGGAGAGAAGGCTCTTGGATGGAAAGTCTTGTCCTGCTTGGGTGGGGCCTGATACAGCAAGCAATGGCAAGGAGACAGGGAGTTTGGGAAGGGCAAGGGCATGGCATACCATGACCTGTTAAGTGCCTCTTTTGTCGGGGTTTTCTTTAAAATGTTTTCTTGCCCCTAAACTTAGCAAGGGACAAGGGGAGTTCTCCTTGCTAACAGTGTGTAGATTGGGTGTGAGTCTTCATTCCCTGATTGCTGCTAGGGATTTAGGAGTTTGTGATCAAATGCTGGGAATCTCCGGTAGCCCAAAAGCAATGATTTCAAAAGAAAACTGCTCTTTAACTGACTGCTCTCCATCCCAACAGTGTTCCATTGAGTGGTTTCATTTTGCCTGTGTGGGTCTGACAACAAAACCAAGAGGGAAATGGTGAGTGAACAAGCAACCTGGAGGGCCCACTGGCCTGTTGAAAAGGGAGGTCGTGGGTGGCAGATGAGAGAGTACACTTAAGAGACCTCATAAAAATGAAAAATTGAATTAAGGCTTTGTTGGAGACCTTGGAAAAGGTCTTTTGGGACTGTATGTTTGAGGTTCATGTCATGCCCTCAACGTTGGCTTTGTACTTCCCTTTCTAACAGGTTCTGCCCTCGCTGTTCGCAGGAGAGGAAGAAGAAGTAAATTCCCATGAAACCTCAGAACTGCTGCAGGAGCTCTCTTCCCCCTGCCAGGGCCTCGTCCCAGTTCCCCCAGCCCTTGGGGCCTTGGCTGAGGGGGAGTCTTGCCCTGTTTGTGGTTTGGGCCATCCCTGGAATGGTGTGTACCCTCACAGTGGTTCCTGTGTGTTCTGTATCCCGGGTTGCTTCCAAGTCCCTAAGGGAGGACTTCTCTGTGTACTATTCCAAACAGGTCTCTGAACCTCAAAGGGAATGAATGAGGGCACCAGGGTAGCCACCAGATTCCCAGGGATTCAGGTAGCCCCTGATTTTCCTTGGCTTTCCTTCAGCCTCCTCAGAGTTCATTGCCTACTCTGTGCTTAGAGAACAAGGCTATGGGATGGGGGAAGGAAAGGAGGTAAGTCTTCAGCATTTTAGGTCATTGATTTTCCTGGATCTTTTTCAGGAGAGAGGGAGTAACCAGGCTACTTCTTAATCTAGTGGACTGGTTGAGAAACTGAAAACCTGATGTGCTCCCTGTCTTTAACCATTCCATTACTGGCATTGAGCAGCCTCTTTTGCTGGGGAGAGGAGGAGGCGGAGGGAGTGTTTAGAGCTAGCTTTGTCTCCCTTATTCCTGGGGTAACCCTGCTGGTCTGGGAAGCACATTATGGGAAGGAGGAAGAATTTCTAACCACATGGGGAGAAGTGGCTTGGTCTAGCCTGTCTTCCGGCTCCAAAATTCTGCCTTCCTTTTGTGCAGTGGTGCTTCTCCATTATGTTGATGGTGGAAAGTTTGGGGATCAGATCCCACTTGTATAAAACAGAATGAAATAAAATTCATTGAAACAAATATTCTGTTTGCCTTGCTGTTACCTCCAAAATAAATTGTGGCAATTGGTCTCTCTAGTTCTTTCTCTCTTAGCTCTGCTTTTATTGTAAATGATGAATGTGGTACAGATTTCTCATCTACCAATCCTAAATAGCATTAATAAGTGACATTCTGCATAAGTCAGGCTTTAAAATGTACCTAATGTACTTGCAAAAGGTTACTAAGCTTTCTAGTGAATGTGAAAAACATCTGCCCCATCAGTCGTGCCCTCACAAAAAGGTGGACATTTATTCACATTATTGTTTGATCATCTACTTCATCAGTTGCCTTCTCTTAAATGAGGAGGGCTGGAAGTTATTGAGGTCAACACTCACTCTGGCCGTTGGGCAGCACAGCTGAGAAAATAAGCCATCAGGACAAGCCATGTGCCTCCAAGAATGTGGGTAGGTATTTCCAGATATCCTGATAACTTGCTCCCTAGTGGGTCACAATCACCTTGTTACCAGAAATGTTGGGCTCCAGAACAATTACTGAAGATGTGTCTTTCTGTAGTATCTGTAGGTAACTGTGAGGAGATGACCCACACTGAAGCTCCCCTTTATCAATTCCATTGGCAGGACCTGGAGATGGATGAGCCCAAGTCTCTTCTTGCTGCTTGTGGTCTGCTCATCAGGAAGGTTTAGGATTTTCACCTGAAACACAGGATGTTTTCCTCGCACATATAACTTGTATGAGGATCCATGGAAGATTTTGCTCTTGTAGTCATGAAGCCAAAGCTCTGCTCAGGTTCAGAGGACTGTAGGTCAAGAGCAATGTTATTCCCACCTTGTCACTGTATGGGGACTCTGTCAACCATCAGCTCAGGAGCTGGAGTTTTCTGCTCAAGGGAGTTAGCATTGAGCCAGTCTTTGCTTTTTTTCTTCGAGAAGGGATCTGTGGGTTCTCATTTTGTACAGAAAAAAGTAGAGGTGGATTCTTGCCCAGGCTATGGCTCATGTTGTTTTTGGTATCCCTGCCACAATCTCAGTCTGAATCCCTAGATTTTATTAGGCCACTCCCTGGAGCTTCACTTCTTAAACAGAGAGAAAGTAAATTCTGGAAGATGTTGGCTGTGTATCTGGTACAGTTTTCATAGTGGGGAGACACTGTGCCGTGATCCAAGGGGTGAGAAAACTGTGGCAGGAGAAAAACTTTATTGAGCTGGGGTTAATTCAGACAGCAGCAGGGTGCTCAACTGACAGAAATGGAGGATGCGGTCTGAACTTGAAGATGGGCTTTGGGCAAAGTGCAAGGGTGACGAAGGATGCAAGCAGTCCTCCAAGCAGTTTGGTTTTGAGGGGACACGACTGTAATTGTAATGGCCAGTGTTAGCAGCAAGTTCTCTGGGAACTGTGGGCTAGAGGGGTGTTTGGAGCACTAGCCCTGTAATGAAGCCACTGCTGACCAAGGATAATAAGTAGCTTATAAAAGCATGTGATATCACGTGAGAGTGTGTGAGTGGGCAGGAGTGTGTTGCGCACCAAACCAGCAAACAAGATTGCCTATTTTTCAGGTGCTGCTCACAGGAGTAATTGTGTTCCTGACGGCTCTGGTTTGGGAAACACAAGTCTGGGGTTTTCTGCAGTCAGCATAGAATGCTGGGAGGGGGAGGTAGACTGGAACGTTCCTGTTTTCAGACTAAAACTTGGCCACAGCGTTACCATTGTGCTTCTTGGCACTCTGAAAATTGAAACATTCTGATGACCTAATGCAAAACAGATGAGAAACACCTTGGCTGGGTTCTGATTCGGTGCCAGAAAATGGCAAGCAGTGCTGCTGTTCTACTTCCCTGCCACTCTGCTGTTGTGTCCTGCTTCTGTCCAACAAAGGGGTGCTTCAGCCAGCAGCGTGGAGCATTCAGGGGACATTTGCTGCAGCTGAGGAAATGCTCTGACTTACAGGAAGAGGGAACTTAGACCAAAATTTGGATAAAGCCTGAGCATTTTTAAATGGCTTAAAAGTATAAATGCAAATGAAAGGACATTAAAATCTAACCTTGGAAGGGAGGGAATAAGGGCAATAGCTGTGCAATATGTAATCACCAGAGGAGGAAAAAAATCAGTAGAAGCTGGAAATTACAAAGTACAAAAATGAAGCCAGTGGGAACAAAGCCTATAAGTGACAAGGCTGGAAACATGAGCAGCTTTTTTTAGAATGCCTTTTGTTTTTGATATAATTGAACATGGCACATGTCCATTACCAACTGCAGATAGCAGAATTGTTTGTAATGAGAGGAGGGGAAGTGTTCTGTAAATATTTATTCTGTGTTGGTGCTGGTGTCAATATGGGGATGATGTACTTCCTAGGCAAACAGTAAAGGAGAGTTTTAAATAGCATCTATTGGGGTCAAGACTTTTTTGATCAGCAGTCTTCGATAAATTATGTCTGTCGTCCTTTGAAAGCCACCCAAAGGAGTCTGTGGACTGCTCTCTGAAAGGCTCTGGACTGCTAAGGAAAGCCCACAAGGCTGGAAAAGAGCCAGCTCTGTGCTGGTCCTTAATGATGTCAAGAAGGCTGCCACAGCAGTCCAGATGTGAAATACTGAAACAGCAGGGAAGTAAATTGCTTCTCTCTAAAACAAGCAAGAAATCCAGGTCAACAAAATAAAATCAGTTTGACTGGAAGTAGCAAAAACAGGTCAGTCAAAAACTAGTTGATTTTTTTTTTTTAAAGATCTTGTTAATAGTTACCTGCATCACTCTAGTGGTAACGGGATCTGAAAAGTTTACTTCTCCTAGAATTGAAGTGCTTAAAGCAGGGTTACACTAAGTTAAAGTAATCATGAGCTCCTTTACAGAACTGGCTAGCTTGCAGATTTCCTGGAACAGCTGTCAGTGCAACATAAACACTTTCTAAAATGGTGCTGGAGAAATTGCCCTTTTAGAGTGATTGGAAATATCCTAGTTGATGAGTAAAGTCAAGTCTGAGTTTCAGGAAGCTGCAGCCATTCAGCACAACAAGAGGGAAGATTTTTCCAGCCTCTTTAAGCCCATTTATTAACAATAATTGGTCATGCACACAAATGACCAGTTTATCTTGTCCAGCTGTGATTGCCCCATCTTTGGGCATCGTTCCTAGGTAGCTGGGCAAATATGTTGATGAGGATGTCCAGCAAAGTATTCCCCTTTCCAGCGAGCAGACGTGCTCACCAAGCTCCCATCCCTCGGGCTCTGCCATCACCATGTCCATTGCGTGATGTGCACAGAAGCCATCACCTTCCACCAGTGGGAACACCTTCCTCCCCTGCTTTTGAATAAAGCGATTGAACTTGCCCCATAGCTCAGCAACATCCAGCCTTCCATTAAGCACTTTTAAGGTGTTACCCAACCACACACTCAGAGCCGCGTGGTGGACAGTCCCCCCCTCGCTGTCTGTTTAACAGCTTGTATAAGGCTTCTGTGCTTAAGCAGACTCATTGAAACTCAGCTGTAGGGTGTGTTTCTGTGAGATTCAGATTATCACAGATCAATTTTTATGAGACAGTTACTCAGAACTGGAAACACTGATTGGAAAGTACCCCTGGAGGTCATCTGCTTCAGCTTCCCCTTCAAAGCAGGGCTGCTGTCCGTCCTAAATCAGGTCAGATATATGCTGAGTACCGAAACTCTCTGTAGCAGAGCAACTAGGATGAGAAGCAGCAGTTGGGTGGCTCAAGATGAAAGGTGATATTACTGATGATCTTAAGACTCAATTCAAATGCCAGCCGAATCAGTCCAGAGATCTCAGCTTGGCAGTGGAGAAGAAAGACGTTCCCAAGAGACAACTTGCTCATACTGAAATGACTTAAAATAAGCCCATGTCTGCCCAGACACAGCTGGTTTGACAGTTTCTGAACCATTGTCCCTTTTATAATCAACCATTGCTCTACTTTCTCTCTGTCATGTGAACCAGGTGGATGAACTGTGAAGACGCTGACGAGTTGAGTGGCAACATCTGCTGCTTTAAAGCAAGCAAGGGGGACCTGCAGCATTGAAGGAGTTAAAGGCTAACAGAAGGAAAGAAAATGCCCTACCTTTCTTTCGAAAGACAACTGAAGGAAGTTTCTCCAACTCTGTTGCCTAGTAGTTACAGGATCAAAAGAAACATAGCTGTTTTTATCCAATAAAATGCATTTCATTTATAAAAATAGTCAAACATCTTGATTAATTTATGCTAATTTATGTTTATTTTTCTGAATACATAAAAGAAAGTTAAGTGTTAGTTTTAAAAAAGACATTTTTGCCCAAGACTTAAGGACAGGCAAAGCTGTGACAAACACTAAGCTCCTAAAGCTTGGTGTGAAAGAAATGTTCAGCAAGTTGTCCACTTTAGTCTGTTTTTGCAGGTGTACAATTTAATTTCAGTGGCCTGGGTTGCTGCCATTGAATGAATAACTCATTCAAAGTTGAAAACCCATCTGGGAGTACGAAAGGAATTATTTTTTACACGTTGACAACAAGCAAGGAAAAAATGTGTGAGACCCTGAGATTTCCTCATTCCAAAAGCCTGAATGATGCAGTCATTGGAAGAACCCATTTAGTTACCACAGAAAGATTGAGGTGGGAAGAGGCCTCTCTGGTGCTCTGTAGTCCAAGCCCCCACCCACAGTAGGGATAAATTTGTGGTCAGATCAGGTTGTTCTTGCACTAAACAAACCTGCCTAAAAAGACTAGAGCAGTTGGTTCAAACATGCTTTTATGTAGCCACTCCATCTTAGGTTGTATTAATAATTCAAGAAACCATTTTTAAATACTGTTTTTGCTATCAATTAAATATTCCATTTTCTAAATGTCAAGTAAAAAATGCTTCATTCACTATTTCCTAACAAAATAAAATGTAAATTAAGTATTTGAATTAATGCATGTTATAACTCTCCAGTGCTTGTATAAATGTGAATAGATTAACATATCTACCAAGTTAAAAATGAGTGCCAATTTTAATATGAAGTCTATATTTATCAGCATATTCGCAGAGCTCTCAGCCAATGACAGTAAACCCACCAAAATAAAGTACAAATGAGGAATGAAGATTATTTAACCTGTGATTAAACTCAACAATTCACAGAATTTTGGTTCGAATCAGAACACCCTCTAATGCGTTTGTCTGTGGAGATGGAGATCTCTACCCTGCTCTGCATGAGCTGGTACCCACATCCCTTCCCACAGGGCCACAGCTACCAGGTTGAAGGTGTTCAGTGTTGGGCTCTTCAAGTAGGTTTGGCTTCATGAAAGACAGTGCTGTACTGTCTGACTCCCTACATCAGTGGAGCACACGTCCCCCTTCCCTGTCTGCTCCTTTAGGGATATGTTTTAGTAAATGAAGCAGTCTTCCCTTTCCTTTGATGCTCTGTAAGGAATGAATAACCTGGCATGTCTCAGGGGCTCTGTTGGCCCCTTCCTTATTCCACTGTAACATCTGCACAAGCATAATTGCTCATGGCCTCCTCCATAAGCAAAGAGAGTGGTGTTCCTTTTCTAGGAACATACTGAGTCAGGAGAGGTTTAGGTTGGATATCAGGGAAAGGTTCTTCACCCAGAGGGTGATTGGGCACTGGAACAGGCTCTCCAAGGAAGTGGTCACAGCACCAAGCCTGTCAGAGTTCAAGAAGTATTTGGACAACATCCTCAGGCACATGGTGTGATTCTTAGGGTGTCCTGCGCAGGGCCAGGACTCAATGATCTTCATGAATCCCTTCTAACCCAGCATTTTCTATGATTCTGTGATATACAAACATATTTCTGTTAACAACACTGTTGTTATGGCTGTACAAGTACTCTGATTATTTCAATCCAGCTAACATGAGAAAGTAGATTTAGGCATTTTTTACCAGAATTGCCTTTATGAAATCACTGTTGGGGTTTTTTTTCACCATAAAAGGTGTTTTTGAAAGCATTTTTCTATCATCTCTGCTTACATTTCAAGTTATTTAGGACACAATCTTTCTAGGAATGCTGCTTGACAAGTCACTGAGTCTGGAATTCACATTTAATCTTTGAAGCCTCCATCTTTATGAGTTTCTGAAGTGGTCAGACATCCTCTCCTTGCCCAAACCCCCCAGTTTAACTCAGAGAGCTGACACACTCTGACAAACATCAGACATCATTCCTTCTTCTTTGGTTAAACTCTCTGTGCCTTTTTCTTGGCGGGCTAGGCCAGTGTGCATGTTGAAGAACCATGCTATGCACCTGGCTCTGCAGTCCCCCTGTCCCTGTTGGTCCTCTGCTCACGACAGCCAAGACCCAGCTTGGAACCATGCTGCTACAGCAATGTCAGCCTCTCCTGCCTGTATCTGATATCTCTGGTCATGCCTCTTGCCATCCTGGGCTGAGGACTGGGCACCATACACCATGCACCTGCACAAAGTAGAAGGGAAACAGTGGGCTGGGGGATTGGATCAGTGCCTTGAGTCCGGGATGGTGATATTTTTGAGTGTTCGCCTTGACGTTCTCATGATTCTATTACCTGATGAAGTGACAATATAACCTTGTAGCAGAGGAGGGAGGGTCTGCGAGCCACTGTCCTGGATTTTTCAAGAGTTTTTCAGACACTGCTGCTGGTGGTAGTGTTTGTGGTGGAACATGCAGCATGGAAAATGCTGAGAAACAGCTGAAGTATTTTAGACAACAACAAGACTAACTCGGGAGAGGAGCTTGTCTGGTGAAGGGTGGTCCCTCACAAACCAGACAGGCTCTTATAAAGCTCAGAATCGACACAGCAGTCGGATAGCAACATGGAAAATGCCACTCCAGCAAGTTGCTATCCAGCTGTTACCCTCCCTGCTGCTGGTATCAGGCGCTCTGTAGGCCTGGGGGTTACAGCTGTGCTCATCAGCCCGCTGAGCTCCAGATGGCACAGGAACACTGTCTGCAGGAAACTGCTGTGTGGTGGCTCTGAAAACAAGGGTGCAAATCTGCTTCAGTGCAAAAATTATACAACTTGTAATGTGGCATTAGAGGTACAACCTTAAAAGTACCAGGTCAACATTCAGAAATCAGAAAAAATGGAATTAGTATCATCCCTGTTCTGTGCATTTCTGACCACTATAGTTGTTTGAAGCAGCAGTAGGGAGTAGACCACCCCCCAGCTCTCAGCATTGATGCATTGTGTCCAAATTACTGTTCCTCCCATCCTCGTCCCTCCCCTAAAGATGACTTCTTTTTTTTCAGAGGCTTAAACAACAAGTGCCCCACAGCCAGCTGTCACACACCCAGCCAAACAGCACAGCACTGTCTCCTGCGCTTGCAGCCTCCCAACCCTGCTGGGTGCATGCTGGAGACAGCCTGGCTCCTTCTTGCGGACTGTGAGTTCCTTGAAGGATTCTGACGACCTGAACCAAATCCAGGGTGTGCCACAGTGCATGAGAAGTGCTAAGTAGCCAATCTGTCCTCACATCTCTAACCACCTTCTTTCCAAATATGCAGTAGCTCCCCACAGGCACTGCTACTAGAGCACCCACCAAGGGTGACTTCTTTGACAACTCCTTTGTCTTCTGCCTTGTGTTTGAGTTCCCAGTGTATGTCTGGGGACTCTGGTCCATTCGTTCTTGTTTTCTGTTTTCATACACCATAAATCTCTTGCTGGCACATGTAGACAGAGGCTGTGTAGCCAGCACCTGACAGACATTAATAACATTGCATGGTATTGCCCAGAGAAGTTGTGGATGCCCCATCCCTGGAAGTGTTCAAGGCCAGGTTGGATGAGGCTTTGAGCAACGTGGTCCAGTGGAAGATGTCCCTGCCATGGTGTGGGGTTCAACTAAATGATCTTTAAGGTCTTTTCCAACACAAACCATTCTATGATTCTATGACATGCCACATCGATGTGCTTTCCTAAGGCCAGCATTTCCATCAGCCACTGAGATCAGCACTGAACTTCTCCAGGAAGCTGCTCAGTCAGGGCAACAGAACTCAACCTGGTCTCTGTTGTCACAGGGAAGTGGAGGGGATTAACAGAGCTGTGGAGCTGAAGGCCCTGGAATTGTCTAAAATCAGCAAAAAAGCAGTATCTCTCAAGCTAAGCAATGGAAGACCAGGAACTGGCTAAAATTTGCAAGCACCAGTAGGGTTACCTGTTTTAGCACGAGTGGTAAGAGCTAGCTGGAAAAAGTCTCTTGCTCACTGTCTTTCTAAAGAGCAGCAAAACCATCCAAAATTCAGTGCTGCTGCTAAGGGGTCAAGCTTCAAGCTTCTCAGAAGCACTACCTTCCAACAAGACACCTTAGAGCAAACCACGGCTTGTCTCCTACCAGGACCTGCAGAGTTACGTGGTGCTGCCAGACACCTTTTTAACAGACTACATGTCTGCAGTGATTTGAGCTTCCGCCTTGACAGCCTGGATGGCCACAGGGCACTGGCAGGAGATGTGTCAGCCATGCAAGCACAGCCGGCACATCTGCAGCTGTTTCATACAGCAGAGCCGCTGGAATCTCCCAGGATTTGTGACAGAAGCGACTCCTGCAGCAGCATACTGCTGTGGAGCTGAAAACTTTGTCAGCTTTGCCCACAGCTCCTCCTTGGTTCCACAAGGGTGTCACCCTGCAGGCTGTGGGGTGACACGGCAGGCACGCGGAGCCGCTGTGCCAGCCTGTGTTCTGCTTATGGCTGCAGTTCTTGGAGCTGCTGTGCCAAGCATTTTCCTTCCAACCTGACAGCTGCTTGCCCCTGACGGTTATGGTTATGTCTTTCCCTCTCGCATCAGAAAGTGCCCAGCTGCGGGAGGCACTGTGTCGGCTCCTATCCATTGGGTGCACATGTGGATTGCTGTGCCTGTGCCCCGCACTTCGTGTGTCTCTGTATTAAGAACTGGGTATGGGTGTGATTCTCCCTCAAATAAGTCCTGTGGAGCTCTGTGCATCTCTGCACTGGTGGCCCCAAAGCTCATTGTGCCAGGAGCATTCCTGCTTTTCCTGAGACGGCTTTACTGTGTAGAGTACAGTGCTCAGGGTACCTGTGCCAGATGCAGAGGAAGACCAGCTGGTGCTCTCTTGACTCCCTGGGAGTTCAGAAAGTGGCATGGCTGCCCAGAAGAGATCAAGCCATCTTCCCATTGCATCCTGAAGCAAGCTGGTGCTGGGACACGTGTGCTTTCCAATCCCCTTCAGATGGAGCAGATGTTGTCCCTTTCCCCTCCAGAAGAGCATAAAATTTTGGGGTGCAAGGTATCCCAGAGATACCACTTTTGGGGTACCCTCAGCCCTTGGTTAGCCTGGCCAGGCCTCAAATGCTGTTGTGTGTTGTTGCCAGCCACCACCATGTTCCCAGGCAGAGAGGGGAAGCTCCCAGTTTGGTTCCTGCTCCTCCTTGTCCCCATGACCAGGTGTCTCCCCTCCCTGTGGGGTGCCTACCTGCCCTCACTCCCCCACAGGCATGAGCCTGGGCTTTGGCTGCCCTCCACAGGCCCCTCCCCAGCCCTGCTGTGACACCATGATCAGGTTCTGATCATGGCGCCGTGGCCACATTCTGGTTCCACTGTTGCCAGGGGCAGAACCCGAGTGCTCAGACTTTCCATGTCTGCTCTACTTGGTATGTGAGTGACTCCCACCCAGCCACCAAGCAGCTCCATGAGGCTGAAGCCTGTGGCAGACATGTTCTGGCTACTGAGTAAGTGCCTGCCCTCACGAGGTCACCTCAGAGCCTGGGGCTGGGGCTGGAAGGAACCATGAAGCCCCTGTGATGCTGCTGCCACCCCCCGTCTCTCACAAGACCACACCACTGGGCCCATAGGCCCATAGGCCTCTGTTCTGCTCACCTGGGAGCAGCTGGAGGCTCTTGGAGGGGTCATAGGGTGGGGGACAGAGGAGAATGTGAAGGCAGGAGAGGAGGTGGCCCAGCTGAAGACAAAGGAGAGGAGGGAGGAGATGGAAGAATGTCCCCTTGGAGGGGCACAGGCCCATGGCATGGTCCAGGGGGCAGCTCACAGGGGTCATTGCGGGTGCCTCTGGAAGCTGGGGCTTTTGAAAGGGGGGAAAAAGTCCACTGAGAAAAAACCCACCCAAAAAAACCAAAACAAAAACCAAGCCAAAAATCAAAACACCTTCCCCAGTCCAAACCAAACCAAGCTCACAACAAAACACAGCTAAACTTTTTCTTCTTTTTTCCTTCTTTTTTATTTATTTTCACCCTTTTCCCCATGGGGCTCCTGGTTTCCCCAGGGCCCTGCAAGCAGGGACGATGGAGGGAGACCTCAACCAGCACCTGAGGTCCTCATCCCCATGCCCTGCTCTGTACCAGCAGACAGGAGCAGACCAACCTGCCAGCTGCTCCTTCATTTCCACCCACCACTTGCCTCCATTACGGGGCTGTTAAGCACAGACTGTCCCAGGTCTTTCTCCCATAGGTCTGCTGACCTTGCCGACGGCTGCTGTTGCTCCACCGGTGCCTCCCATTCCAGGCAGTCCGCTGTCGGACACGGAGTACCAGCAATTCTTTGCAAGGCTGCAGCCGCTCTGGGAGGCAAACATGTTCTGCCTGCTGCGCCAGGCATACGGCTGCCTCAGTCCCACCATTCTTCAGCTGGACCAGGAGGAGAACCACGGCCAAATCCCCAGTGGTAAGGACATCACTCCACCTCCATGGGCAGCAGAGGGTGTGGCCCCAGCTGGAGCAGGGCCAGCTGTTTCTCTGCCCTAAAATGCCACAAGATTGTGGGAGGGGTTGTTTTGGAGTCTCTAGCCCAAAGTCCAGCTTGGAGCAGACACCCCCAGAACAAGAGCACACCAGCTTTGTACAAGAGTGGTTTTGCAGCCTCTCTGGGCATCCCTCCCTGTGCTGCACCACTTTCCTGGAGAAAAAATGCTTTTCCCAATGGCCAGTCCTAACCTCCTAAGCAGGCCACGGTTTTCTGGGGCTCACTGAAGGTCTTCATCTCTTACCAGCTCCTTCCAACTTGATCTGGGCATTAATGCAGAAGCTTGGCTCATGGGTTCTCATAGGTCTTTAAGAAAACTTGAGATGATAAGCTGCCTTTTTAAGTGTTTAACGTTTCAGGAGCCAAGAAACATCCCAGTTCAGAAAGCACCATAGCAACAGCACCCTTCAAATCTCTGCAGTGATATTTTCCCTGCACCCCTGCATCAGAGAATTTAAGTGGCATAATTATATCTGTGCAGCTGAAAAACTTGGTACTACTTCTGTTGTATTTTTCTTCAGAGGAAAAAAAATAGGAACAATTTTCTCATAAAAAATATGTCTTTATATTTAGATATGAACGTCAATGAGCTGAATGATCAGCCAACTGTGCTTATTTGGACTGCAGCTTGAGGGCAACTATTTCTTGCTGGTTTCTGCAGCTGTGTCAGGGAAACAAGTGCCACCCCTCAACACCAGATCCAGGGATGGGTTCTGGGCTCCTCACTCGCTTGTGGGCACCTGCAATCCTATGCCATAGTGCTGCAATCCTATGCTATGGTGCTGGGTGCACCCAGGGCCTGTCCCTGGTTCCTCTCCCGGTGCCCAACTCCCCAGCATTGTTCCTTGCCACATCAAGCCACACTCCCACTGCTCTTGCCTTTGGAGACACAGCTGCCAAGGGCAGAAGCATCTGGAAATGCCAGGAGACGGGACAATTTTGCAGTTTGCCTTCTTTACCTTCTTTTTCTCCATCCCTCAGCCTAACAGACCCATCCAGCAGACTTTATTTCCCTTTGTGTTATCCTTTTTTACAGTTTTTGGGTTATTTTGGCACATTTCAGCCAGGCTGAGAGGCCAAGCTGTCATGGTAGAACATGTTCCAACCCATGTTTAGCCTCTACTGTCCTCACAGAGCAATGGTAGTGCTGCCTACATCCAGATATTCATGAGCATCCTCACAGAGCTATGGTAGTGCTGTCTACATCCAGATATTCATGAGCATTAATTGCACCTCATCGGGTGCTGATGAAGGCAGTTACCTTGTGTTTTAAACAAAGAATAGGGGTCGATCTGTAGTGTTCCCTACAAATTAGACACTTTCCTGGGCTGGGATCCTGGTGGATACCTGAAATTCTATTTTTGATGGTGCAGGTGTATGCTCAGTACAAGAAGTGTGTGTACAGGGTAAAGGTTGGTGCACAAGCAGCAAACAGGACAGTAGTGCAATTCCACTGCTGATCTCCTCCCTCTCAGTCCTGTGCGCACAGGGCTGGCTCTGCTAGCCAGACCATGTGCTCCTAGAGCAGAGGGAGCACAAGATCACCCCCCTCCCCAATTCTCCCCGGGTTTTCTGCTCTCCTGCATGCCTTTGCTTTCCTGTGATCACTGCAGAAAGAGCTGCAGCTTTGGGGTCAGTGTGTCGACAGTGCTGGTCAAGACCGCAGTGTGTGTGTGTACAGGTACAGGCTTTGTCAGCAGCATCCTGGCCCTATGGGCTTTCCTCCATCCCCTGCAAGGCTGGAATCGATGTCAAACTATATTGCCCTGAAGATATTGTCTCCTCTAGAGCAGGTTTCCCAGAGAAGCTGTGGCTGCCCCAGCCCTGGAAGTGTTCAAGGCCAGGTTGGATTGGGTTTTGAGCAACCCAGTCTAGTGGAAGGTGTCCTTGCCCATGGCAGGGGAGTTGGAACTAGATGATCTTTAGGGTCCCTTCCAACCCCAACCATTCTATGATTCTCTGGTGCTCCTAGGCCTGGTCTGGGCATCTTTTGAACCTATCACATCACTGCTTTTCTCTTTTTTCTAAACCCTGTAAGGACTAATAACAGAATCATCAGATCCTGGAAACAGGAAGTTTGGATCTCTGTCATAAGGAAGATAACTGTGAGAAAAATGGTAGAAGAATGAACTGAAGCCCTCAGGGGGTTGGAGGGAAAGGGCATGTGGCACCTGGGATTGGGAGCTGTAACAGCCCAAGGCTGTGATCTCCACGTGGGGACGGACAGACTTTCCCTGCGTCCACAAGCTGTCACCCCAGAGATCCCGATCTCTTAGTGCACCCAGGCCAAGGGGGTAGATGACAAAACCTGTGGCCTGCCCCTATCCCACATGTCTCTCTCCAGGGCCAGTCTGCACTGACTTTCCCGAGGTGCTGCAGTTTCAGACCTTCTGCCAGTTTGCCCAGTACCGCTGCCTCAAACAGCAGTTCTATGTCAAGGTGGGGAGTAGGATTTGGGGGAGGGGGGTAGGGGAGGTGGAAGGGGTGAGGAGGAAGGGAAGATTACATAGCAAGATTCGTGTTTCTCCCTCTTTCTCCGACTCAGCGAGTCCCGTGTTCAACTTGGTCTCTAAAAGATGTCATCCCCTCGAAGGAACCTCGAACTGTGAGCTCCGTGACAGTGGGCAAAAGCTCCTCTGGCAGAGAAGGTATGGCTGCACCGAGCTGTGCTGGGCACCCCTGCTCGCCTGCTCCTCTCCTGTAGCTACTCTTCCACCCCCAGCACCTTTCTGGCTGGCCTCAGAAAGGTGCCCTCAGCTGCTCCATCCCTCTGTCTCCTCAGCTCACAAGCAGGCTTCTCCCTCTCCTGCTCATGTGGAAAGGCTTCTGAACCACTCTCACGCGCCCCTGGGTCAGAAACCACTGTTGACAAAGCCCCCCACAGCCACATCAAAGGTGACCACACCCTCACAGAAGAGCAGGACAACTGTGCACCCACCCATTGTGCTTGTCCCGGCTGCCACTACCGCCTCGCCTCCCAGGGTGGAATCCCCTGAAGACCAAAGCCTGAAGAACAGCATCTGGCAACTGATCCATTCGGCCCTTTCCTTGGATGCATCCTTGAACACCAAGGACTCTTCTTGGAACTTCACCAAGTCAGGTCCAGAAATCATATCAGAGCAGGAAATTCCCCCCCGAGGCAGGTGAGGGCAAGACTGCTCTTTCTGGGTACCTGTGCAGTACTGTCCTTGTGCACACTGGCTGGCAGCCCCAAAGCATTCATGCCCCTGCTTGGAGCAGGTGGTGAGTGTGGACAGGCTTTCTGGGGCAAGCTGTCCCATACAGAGAAGGAATGTACCTGGGAAGCCCCTCAGGCACCCCCTGCTCCAGCACAGTGTGAGCAGGGAGAGGGTGATGCAGCACTGCTCGTGCCTGAAAATGTCACTGGCCTTGCATCCTGAGAAAAGTGAGCTTAGTCTGGGCCTTAGCTGCAGGCAGGGCTTTGTTTCCCCACACTGTGGCCGTATGAAGCATGCAATCATCTCTGCACGTATCCTCCTCCCAGCACGTCTCCCAGGAGTACAGGTGATGTGCAGAAACAGATTCGTTGTGAACACAGGTCCTTGGGATGTGTCTCACTGTGATCCTTGCTCTCTGTGTGCAACATGAAGCAGATATTTCTTAAAACAGGTTCCTGAGGAACCCTTGGAAGAGTGCTCTG